TATGTTTTTTTGTTGCTGGAATGGCGATGAAAGTTAATCTATTTCAAAATGGTGAGTGTTTTCTTTTCATTTGAATATAGACTAATTTATCACGTGATGAGTATTTCGCTATGGTTCAATTATATGTGCTTCCGTGAAGAAGGTACTGAATACTTGATTTTCATATTGTATTATTTGTGTGTGAGAGTGTAATAGTGTATGGTTTTTCTTCGTTGTGGAACATCGCATTTTTGTGGTCGAAATGGCGATGTATCCATTTGAAAATGGTGAGTGTTTTCTTCAATTTCAATATGGAATTAGGGAACGTCATTATTTCGGTTGCCTATTCGATGTAACTCTCATTATTTCAATTCCTAATTTATTTAATAATCGAAATCTGATACCCACTATGTTTTAGATCAAAAAAGCAACGTGTTAGGAATTGACCATTTGAGCCTAACGGAGAAATGACAATGAGAGGAAATCAGACCAGAAACCAGCGATCGATGATGACTAACCCAACTTTGTTCCGTATTATATTCAATAAATTCCGAATATTCCTTCAAAATTTTATATTTGTTATGGAAGGCGATATATCATAGAAAATTTTTCGATAGTCATCATTATGTCTTGGTGGAGACACGACAGGTACCCTTGCGAGGGGAGAGTATCAACCCTTGTCGTCGGTAAACCCTCTTTGCAACCGAGGTAGGCGCCTTATGGGTTAGGTATATACAGTGACTTTCATTTAGGAGAAAATTGTTGGCTATCGGTTGCGGTCATTTTCTGGGTTATCGAATATGTCGCATTTCAGCAACGGAATTTGGAAACAGTTTTCGTAAATATTTCAGTTTCCTATCCCATGTAACTTTCATAATTCAAATTCCCAATTTATTTATTATTCGAAATCTAATACAGACTATGTTTTAGATCGAAAAAGCAACGTGTTATGAATCGATCATCTGAGCCCAAAGGAGAAATGACACAAGAGTCTCGAGATCATACCCGTGTGTTCACCGAACACACCCGATCGTTCCCTAAGCGGTGGGGAAACGTAAACGGGCAGCAGTAACTAGGTACGTTATGAATATTGGCGCGTGCCTGAATTATTTTGGAGTCAAATTTGTCAATTTAATGTACTTCGAAACGGAACACTAGTAGTTGTGCCTTCTTGTTTTACATATATTATAGGTAGACATCAAATCAATAAACATAGTGCTCTCGCCATCGGTATTTGCTGAACTTCGCTATGGGAAAAATGTTGGGATGAAGAATGATCTATACAGGGTGTATCTAAATAACACCGAAATAATTCAAGGGATGATTCCTTGTGATATAATATGATGAATAAAGGTCATATAAACATGTGTCCTAAACTTGCTTCGTTTTCGAGGTACAGGGTTAAGTCCTAGCTGATTTCGAATCCGAAGTGATTTTTAACCTATCTTGCCTCCTAATATCATTTTCCGGAAATGTTGGTGGGTCCATGACCAGAGCAGTGTTTTTCACTGAAGATTACCTCACTTTGGTCATAGTTGGTATATATATCTATCGCTCCTTAAAATTGAACAGTTACGTTAGATATACGGTATACGGGTTGATATTCCATTATAGAAGTGACATGCACACTGTTTATATTTTTAAATACATCCAGTGGGATTGAATTTTATTTTATGTTGAATATTAGAGTGTGTTTTTTTATGTGATATATTTGTTTTGTTTATTTCAAATATATATATATATATATTTTTAGTAGGCATACTATAGCTAGTACTTATTCTTTTATATAATTCTGAAATCGGATCCACCCTGTATTTGTTTCAATTAAATGGCATCAGTAGATAGTAAATAGAATGTTAGGATAGGGACACATGTAAGCCATTTTGACAAATCAATATAGGTATTGTATAGTTTCGATACAAAAAAATCTCGATTTTTCACATTCTACGTATAGGTATACCTTGAGCTTGTTCAACGAAATCATAGCTCAATTAGAAGAATCGAAAAATGTAATAAAATATAAGGTGTTCCATTTTGAATAACAAAGCTGCTACCAATACTACTAAGTACTACATAACTACTAATAATAATTTCTAGTGAAGCAGATGAACATTATCGAAAATAATTTGAATGAAAACGAGCGTCCTCGCCAACAAAACATGAGCATATAATATGTACATATAGTTTCATGATTTTCGATGAGTGGTTCGATATTTACATGTAGGACTCGTCGTGACATAGCCTCGGACATAGCGAATTATTGCAAATCAAATCATCGCTTTCATTATCTGATAGGTCGCAGTAGATCACTTGATGCCTATCAAATGGTTCTTATTTATTCGAAAAAAAAAATGTTGAAATGTGATCAAGAAAACTGTTGGTGGCCCACCCCGTACTACAAAAACAAAGACAGCATGAGAGAAGCTGCCTGCCCACTCATTGTATCATGACTGCCTGCATACGTCTCGGTCTCCCCACCGCTTAGGTAACGATCGAGCGTGTTCGGTGAACACACACTAGAGCTTAGCCATAGCACCAGTGCGAGAATATTGCGCCTGGTGCGCAGGTCGCTGGGCGCGAGAAATTGCAGCGAAACAAAAATAAATAGGTAAGTCATTGTGAAATGATATTGCGTGTCGCTCGCTGCTCGCTGGGCGCGAGAAATTGCAGCGAAACAAAAACAAATAAGTCATTGTTGTGAAATGATACATTAGACAACTGCTTTCCTAGTTGATACCATGTTACAGGGTGATCCCTAGAATCGTGACACACCTCAAATCAATTTATTCAAATTGAATTAACACTGTACTGTTCATAATTATTACATATATATATATCCCCAGATAGCACGAATATTCTCAGAATATTCTTACAAGCTGCGAAAATGTCATCTTCTAGAATAATATTCTGAAGAATGTGCATAGAAAGTTCTCAGTATGTTGCGAATATTTATGGAATGTTCCATGCGAATATTCTGATAGTATTACATGAAAGTACATTCCTAGAAGCTCCTGGGATATAATATTCCAGAATGTTCATTAAATAATATTTTTAATTTTTAATATGTGAACATTCATGGAATACTTTGCGAATATACTAATGATATTCTGAAAATATGTTCCAATGAGCTTCTGAAATGGAATATTCTAGAATGACAATGTTAAAATATACTTATTTCAGAATATTCTAACATAATGTCCTTAAAATGATCATAAAATATTTTCATCCTGCAACGAATATTCTATGAACATTCAATTTGACATAGATACACAAGAATATTCTTTTCGAATATTCTGAGAATATACAGAATCGTATCAAATTATGAAATTGATGTTATTATTCATGTATTGATATACAAAGTGTTCCCCTTACCAAACCCATTATTATAATGGTTGTATGCCACTAAGTGTTGAGATCTTCCCATTCATATCATTCATTAAAAAGGTCTGTAGCTCAGTGGTTAAGGTGACAGGTAAATAACTATGTAGGTTCGCAAGCCCGCACCGGAGCAAGCTTTTTTAAATTTTATTACTATAAATATACCTACCAGTAACATTCTCAGAATATCTAGAACAGCCCTCTTTGTATATCCATAGACCGTTCCTAGAAAATATTCGTATAATATTCTGAGAAGGTACTTGTGTGTGCTATCTGGGTATATACATATATAATTATATAATTCCACAAAAATTCCCCCTTCCCTTGCAAAAATAATATCGCAGCGATCTAAATTAACTTCCCGTGATACATGATTCGCCGCCAATTAAGGGTATTGGGTATTCTTTTACCAATGATGATCTTTATTGTTTCGCTCCAATATTTGTCCCGCGCCGCACGGCCGCAACCCTTCTCGCGCTCGGCGAGCGAGCGAGCAAGCAACGAAATTTTCTGTTTCTCGCGCCCAGCGACCTGCGCACCAGGCGCAATATTCTCGCACTGGTGCTATGGCTAAGCTCTAGTTGAACACACGGGTATGATCTCGAGACTCTTGTGAAATGACAGCAAAAAGAGGAAATTGGACCAGAAACCAGCGATCGATAATGACTAACCCAACTCTGTTCCGTATTATATTAAATATATTCCGAATATTTCTTCAAAATTTTATATTTGTTTTATGGAAGGCGATAAGTCATAGAAAATTTTTCGATAGTCATCATTATGTCTTGATGGAGACAAGACAGGTACCCTTACGAGGGGAGAGTATCAACCCTTGAAGAGTAAGTATACTTGCTCTTCTTATTTTGTCATTGGACACTTTATATACTCATGATGTACTCCAATTAGACATTTTTATATAGAAAATTCAACAGGAAATATAAATTTTCTGACGAGTTTGACGGCCATTTGATCAATAGTCAATCAAAATACGAGATGTCAAATGTCAATAGATTGCATATTACACGCCATTATTTTAAATGATATTCTTCCTTTTCTTCACTAAATATGGATAAGTCTCGAGAAAATCATATTTCTAGTTGACTCATATAATGGAAAAAAATGTGCCATACATTGTGATATATATAAATTGTATAATGATGAAAAAAGAAGGATAAATTGTTCCAAATGCCATCCAGAAGACAGGCGAAAAAGAAGGTGAAATTTGTAACTTCATAGTCAAATATCTCATTAAATAATGGTTTGTTCACATTCTCATTATCAAATTCGCGTTTTTCAGACAAAAATGCGTGAGTACCAGAAAAAATTTCGAAAAAAAATCAATCTCATGATAAATGCAGTTTTACTAAAAATACTTCATATTATGATTATCTCTTTAAGACGTTTAATTATTTTTTCTCATCAATTATTTAACCTCATATTATAACACCAACAAGAGCCCAATCCAGTGCCCAATCAAAAGCCTTAACTACTCCGTGAACTACCTCAGTAAGCTGGTTGGTGTGGTTGGTTAACTATTACGTCATAGTTTGGAATGCACATCGAGGAAAATTGACTTTAAACTACAAGACATGTTATTTTTTGAAATTCATAGTTTGTAGGTTAAGTCTTAAGTAGATATCATGATATCAAAATAATATTGATTTAGAATAATTTCATTAATTTCACACCAATAAAATTTTTAATACCTATATGATGTCTTCTGATGAATCAATAATGAGAATCAAAATGATTCACAATTCAACAGATCCTGACTGAAACTGGGTTCTTCAATTCATGGAATGTTTCCAACTGTATTTGAAATTCATCTCCAAATTCTTCATATCTCCTCACAATAAAAATGATGGTCAATTCCCGGTTAGAACAGAAGAAAGAAGAGCAATTCGTAGTGCATTTCAGAGTCAGCTTCAAACATCTTTGTCTCTTATCAGTTTCATGCCCATTTCTATCCCTCATGATCTGCTTATTGACTGCCTATATATTTCAGTATAATGACATACACGAATCCCATTGTCAGGTAAGTCCCTTGAAATATCTGGAGAAATAACTGATTATGGATATAAAAAAATGCAGGTGTTCAACATTATTCCTTCTATCAGTTCTATAACTGGAATAAGCCCACAGAGGTATCTGTGGAGAATCAGTATTGCATTCCATGTTGGACCAAGGTTGATAATCTCAGCTGTTTACCGTGCATATCATCTTAGTTTAATAAACCGTTTTGCTCAACCAGAGGTAACAATATTCATCTATGCTTTGTGTAGGTATGATTAAATAATTTTTTAAAATTTTCAGACTAAGTTGAAGGCCCAAGTTTGGTTGAATTCTGCATTTATGCTGAATGCTATTGAAACTGGAGCATTGTGTGGTGTAACTTATATTTCTAACAGGGAGAACTATGGTTTGTAGATTGAGTTAATGTTATTGAATTCACCAAAGAGAATAAATTTCCAGAACATTTTTATATATTTTTTGCAGCATGGCATGAGAAATTATTCATTATCTTTATGATAAGCAGTTTAACTCATATGTTTGCCTGTATACATGGCATTGAGGCAGTTGCTGAATCAAGAAATAATAAGAAAGCAATACAGAGAGATTTACAAGTCAAGCAGTTTCTTCTATATGCTTCTCTCATTTTTACAGGAGGCTTAGTTGGTTTTTTTATGCAACATAGATATCTTTGCCATCGAATGGGTAAGGGAATAAATTTTATTTCTCATCACTGTAATTTATTTTGGAGATATTTTTTATTTCTCAGTAGTTTTTTTTCTTCAGTTTTCTAGGGAAATAATACATTTACTTTGTTTCAGCATTCAGTATGTTTGCTCTCTGTGAATATTTACTAGCCATAGCAAACATGGCTTTCCACATTAGTTTAATACTTGATTTTCCTACTGAATATTTATTGATAGCCAAGAAAATCAGTCAACAACCTCAGGATGGTCTGAGAGACCAAAAATTAGACTGATGGAGTCTTCAAATAACTTTTTATCATATTATTTATTTTGTATGAGATATGTTAAGTATTATGTAGATTAGGGCCTATGGATTCTAGTCAATTTATTAGTCAAAAAATCCAGGCGTGGTTTGATCTCAAATAATATTAGGTAGGTAAATGGTTGAGATATCATCAATCAGGAACAATTTTAATGATCTCTATATCCAGTTAGAAAATATAGGAATCATCATTTAATTATAGTAGGAATGCAATTTTTCTTCCCATTAACACTTCCAAATTACCTAATGCTTTTATAGTGAGCCCTTGCAAGATATCAAAATTAGTACCTGTATTTTGTAAGCTTCATATAGTGAAAACTCCATTACAAATTACAAAGTTTTGTCATTTACATATATTGTAAAACATTTTATGATAATAATAATAGTGAAGAGAATACAGCTTCCATTTTTTCATCATTTGACCATTTTGAGTTGATCCGCATTATGTTACTGGTCGGTGAACATTGACATTTTAGTGACACCCTGTACAGTCTATAATCTATATTATCGTGACGTCATCATTTTATCAATCTCGCAGCAGTGGTTGTCGTTGTCAATGACGAATTATGTCATTTGTCACTGTTGAAAATTGTGATTCTGTCGAATTCGTGTTTTCTGTTTTGTTCTTTCTTTTTAATATTTGTTCCGTGTACAATAAGTCAAGTCCTTATTTTTTGGGAAAATGAAGTATGTTTTTCTCAAATATTAAATCAATCCAATAATGTTTCTTAGTTTAGTTCAGATCGAAACAATTATGATAAAATGGAATACCTATAACAATCATTATTTTTGTTTTTAGGATCGGCCTTTGCGCGTACAGCGGGTACAAAATTTACCCTGGCCATGGTAAAACATTGGTCAAAATTGATGGAAAGGTATGTTTTTTCCACATTTTACGAGAGGAAAATCATCTATCCTCATACTATATTGATTTATTAATTTTTTCTCCAAGTAAACAAACTAAAATTTTGATCATAACCTCAATAAACAAACCCTTTATTTTTTCAGAGTTACACATTCCTAAACTCAAAATGTGAACGTGCACATTTAATGAAGAGGAATCCTCGTAAAGTAACGTGGACTGTCCTATACAGGCGTAAGCACAAAAAAGGACAGGAAGAAGAAACTGCAAAGAAACGTACCAGAAGGACACAAAAGTTTCAGAGGGCTATTGTTGGAGCTTCATTGAATGATATCATGGCCAAGAGGAACCAGAGGCCTGAAGTTAGGAAAGCACAGAGAGAACAGGCTATTAGGTGAGTTAATTTTGTACAATTTCAGAAACAGTTTGTTATTTAATTGTTTATTGTAGGGCTGCCAAGGAACAAAAGAAAGGCACCAAAGTGACAAAGAAAGCAGCAGCCCCTGCTAAAGCCAAAGCAGCTCCCAAGCAGAAAGCCAACAAAAATGTTCCAAAATCTGCACCAAGGGTTGGAGGAAAACGATAAACTTGATAATTGTAAAGTTTTGACAAATAAAATATGATTTAAGTTAATCATAGGGCAGTGTTATATTTTTTCTGAGTAGATAAAGAATGATTCAATATGGATAAAAGAACATCATGGGTTCCTAGGGAGGATAGGGACAGGCGGTAGGTATTGGAATGTTTTTTTAACTTCTGGAGTTACATTGAATTGGGATATAAAACCAAAATTTCATAAATATATTTACTTAACACTTCACTATTGCAAGTTTCAATTGGCTAATTCTAATTTAAGACAGCCATGCCATATTTGCTCTTTCTGAAAAATCTTTAAATGAACTGTGAACATAGTACTCAACATATTTTGGATTTATCAGGGTATTTGGTGGTGCTGTGTGATATATAGGTTCTCCATACCAGGTCCCTGTCTTCCAACCTTCAACATTTGCCATCAGACTACTTTCTTCATCCCTGTTCCTTCTCAACTGCTTCAAGTACTCTCGATCTCTTTCCGCTAATAACATTGGATATATGGCCAAGCTAGCGCTCCGCATTTCCAGTTCTCTTGCTCTCACTGCTTTGCAATTCAGATAGTATAGATACGCAGCCCCAGCCGTCATTCCAAGGTAGCCCCCTATGAGTGCCCAACCTGGAAGGAGGTGATTTTAAATTACGTAATTTTGGGGTTTATATATTGTACTTACCACTGAAGAATGTTTTGGCTGGTACTCTTTTGTAATCTATGGGTTTATAGCCTCCCGCAGGAGGCATATCTTGCTGAAACTTTATGTCCGACGACATCCTTAAATCCTATACCGATTTTATTGCTAATATTTCAAAAAAAATATATTTTTATTATTTTTGTTGGTCAAATTTCTCCCTCCTTCTCTACCCGGAACGAATGACGGGTAAATATCTAGACTGTCTGACGAGTGACGACCCGTCTTATCAACTGTCACTGTCGAGACAATCGAATTTCGGCAAACGTCAATTGTCAATGTCAGCCAGTAATTTCAAATCAACCCACTGAACTTATTATTGAAAAGTAGATATTCAAAAAGGTGTGTTTAGCAGTTCATTGAGCTGATTAGATAGTGCCGTCAGAGATAAGTTACCCACTGAATCAACAGACCCTACTAAAATCCAAACTGAAATCACCTGAAATATGGCAAAGAGGCTAGCTGTGTAGTTTATCAATCTTGGTTCGGACCACTTGAGAGTTTAGAAGAGACGGTTAGCTTCGTAGAATCTCCAGAAGATGGCGCCAGATTTCATTTTTGAAATCGTAGAGTGCTAAAATGCTCCAATAGATGTAAGTGAAATTTATTGAATTAATTATTTGTTATTTGGCCATGAACATTTTGTACTATTTGATAAGTAATGGTGTCAGAATACGTTTGTGAAATTAAATATGATCGAAGAATGAATTTTATCACGGCAAGGATTCTGGGAATCACCAAAATACAGAAGAGATTATTGAATTCTTGACAAGGTGGAACATAAATGATGAGTTGAGATGAAGAAAACCTACAACCCAACAGACATCAACCAAAATAAGGGCCAAGAGCTCTCCAAAAAGTTATATCGGTAAGTTGCCAAACATGACGCATTAGATCATCTTATTAGTCATCCCTATTCAATAATAATATTGAAATTTCAAATTCCAGAGCTGTTAGTGATCAAGCCAAACGTTTGGATGATGCCAGGAGCTGTGCCCGAAATATAGGAGACTTGTTCACTCCAAATTTACTAGTTCAAAGAAAAAAGTTCTGTGAATTCAGTGAAAGATTGATTTTCACTGATTACTTATCATATGGGCATAAAGGAGAAGAGCTATTATGGAGAAAAGGCTATTATGATGTAGTCTCCACTGCAAAAAAATTGAAAAAGAATGAGTACCAGCCAGATGAGTTATCTTGCATTCAAGCCCATATAAACTCTGGTATTGGATTTTATCACCATATGATTTCTCGTTTGCAATATGAATTTAGTTTGAATATCAACAATTCTGTGGATTTCACAATGTTGCTGGATGATAATAAACAATCAATTGACAATGATAAAGAAGCTGTGGAATGGGCAAAGCAATCCATACATCAATGTCTCATTTACTTGGGGGACCTTAATAGATACAAAATTGAGATTTTCCCAAACTGGGATTCTACTTTGGCTGTGCGCTATTACTTGCAAGCCATATCTTATAAACCTGACTATGGTATGCCACACAATCAAATGGGGAATTTAGCCTTGAACCAAAATCACCTTCTCAAAGCTGTTTACCATTACATGAGATGTTTGAGTTGTAAATTTCCATTTGAGGGTACTTCCAACAATTTACTCAGCTTGTTTGAAAAGAACTCCAAGTTCATTGAACACTTACCTCAGGAAGATAAAAATGCTGATTGTATTATAGAACCTGGGCAATCTGAGAAAATAAAGATCTTTCTAGCTAGATTCCTCCTGCTGATTGACATTTGGTATTTCAACAAAAAAATACCCAAGGTGTATGACTTGTGCCATCAAACTTACAAAAACCTAGAGGAGTGTCTGAGCTTTGTGAAAAGTTCAGTAAGTGAATCAGGAGAGAGCCCAACAGATTTTGAAAATGATCAATACCTCACTAGTGACTTGATCTTTAAGATGGTAGTGATTTGCTTGCTGTGCTTGTCCAAACTGAAATCTGATAATTCCTCACAACTGTCCACCCTAATTGCTTTCATACTGGGCATTTACTCCCAATTGGTGCAAAATGTGACCAGTCACATAGAACAGAGTGTTTTGAACTTTCCCATTACTGAAAACGCAAAGATCATGAAGGGTACTGGCATTTTGAAAGATTTGATGAATGGGTATAAGAGATCTAAAACTAAATTGAGGAGGAGGAAGGCTCTGAATGCTGAGAGTGAAGATGATGAGTCTGAGGGAAGTGATGCAGGTGGGTATAGAAGTTGCAGCAGTTCTGATGATTCTTTTATTTCTGATGATGAGGATGTACTGGCTGTATCATCTGATGAAGAGTCTGATATTGTGAAGGTGAGCAAAATCGAAATAATTTGAAAATCTGTGATTTTTTTTTATTTTTGACCCCCTTTTCGAAAAAATATGTACGCCCTTGTTGTGGTGATTTTTATTTTATATCAAAGTATTTACAAGAAATTTTGAAATTCCAAATTTAATTTTCATGACCCTCAGATAAAAAAGTTGGTACGCCTCAGTGGTTACTTTGACTTTTTGTGATTCTGATCTCCTGATTAGTTGAAAAGTGCCAACCAAATTGGTCATGAAATCAAAAGTTCAGATGCCAGATTAAAATGAAGCCATTATGGTATCCAAAATTAGTTTCACAAAAAAATTGACTTATTCTTAAAGCATTTTACATTTTTCTTTAGATTCTTTGATCTCCATTTATCCGAGTTTATTCATTACCGACCCCTTTTGAAAAAAATGAGTACGCTCCTGAAGTTATCCAAAATCTATTCTCTAATTGTAAGTCAAAAATTTCGAAATTCACACTTATATCAGACCTTATAAAAATACATAGACCCTTGGATTTATAATATTTATTTTTTTGGTGCATGGTGTCAAAAACATTTTAGTTTGATCCTCCAGAAAAAAATTATTCGTCGATGAAAATGCTGAGACCGAGAGAAATACAGACGGCGTAATATGCTTTCAGATAATAGTAAAAAAAACTAATAATTAATCTCCTGGCACTTTCTCTCATCTTCTTAGGTTTCCGACGAATTCAATTATTGCGCCACCCCGAAACAAAAAAACTAATAATTAATCTCCTGGCACTTTCTCTCATCTTCTTAGTTTTCCGACGAATCCAATTTCGCCACCCCGAAACAAAACAAAAACTAATAATTAATCTCCTGGCACTTTCTCTCATCTTCTCAGGTTTCCGACGAATCCAATTTCGCCACCCCGAAACAAAACAAAAACTAATAATTAATCTCCTGGCACTTTCTCTCATCTTCTTAGGTTTCCGACGAATCCAATTTCGCCACCCCGAAACAAAACAAAAACTAATGGTTAATCTCTTGGCACTTTCTCTCATCTTCTTAGGTTTTCGACGAATCCAATTTTGCCACCCCGAAACAAAACAAACTAATAATTAATCTCCTGGTACTTTCTCTCATCTTCTTAGGTTTCCGACAAACCCAATTTCGCCACCCCGTAACAAAACAAAAACTAATACTTAATCTCCTAGCACTTTCTCTCGTCTTCTTAGGTTTCCGACGAATCCAATTTCGCCACCCCGAAACAAAACAAAAACTGATGATTAATCTCTTGGCACTTTCTCTCATCTTCTTAGGTTTTCGACGAATCCAATTTTGCCACCCCGAAACAAAACAAACTAATAATTAATCTCCTGGTACTTTCTCTCATCTTCTTAGGTTTCCGACGAATCCAATTTCGCCACCCCGAAACAAAACAAAAACTAATAGTTAATCTCCTAGCACTTTCTCTCATCTTCTTAGGTTTCCGACGAATCCAATTTCGCCACCCCGAAACAAAACAAAAACTAATAATTAATCTCCTGGAACTTTCTCTCATCTTCTTAGGTTTCCGACGAATCCAATTTCGCCACCCGAAACAAAACAAAAACTAATAGTTAATCTCCTAGCACTTTCTCTCATCTTCTTAGGTTTCCGACGAATCCAATTTCGCCACCCCGAAACAAAACAAAAACTAATAATTAATCTCCTGGAACTTTCTCTCATCTTCTTAGGTTTCCGACGAATCCAATTTCGCCACCCCGAAACAAAACAAAAACTAATAATTAATCTCCTAGCACTTTATCTCATCTTCTCAGTTTTCCGACGAATCCAATTTCGCCACCCCAAACAAAACAAAAACTAATAATTAATCTCCTGGCATTTCCTCTCATCTTCTTAGGCTTCCGACGAATCCAATTTCGCCTCCCCGAAACAAAACAAACTAATAATTAATCTCCTGGCACTTTCTCTCATCTTCTTAGGTTTCCGACGAATCCAATTTCGCCACCCCGAAACAAAACAAAAACTAATAATTAATCTCCTGGCACTTTCTCTCATCTTCTTAGTTTTCCGACGAATCCAATTTCGCCACCCCGAAACAAAACAAAAACTAATAATTAATCTCCTGGCACTTTCTCTCATCTTCTTAGGTTTCCGACGAATCCAATTGCGCCACCCCGAAACAATCTCTCCTCAACGGTCTATCCAACGGTCACATCCCCCCATCATCACCCCAAGCCACAACCAAAACCAAAGAGGACATCCTAGCCAAAGTCCGCCTCATGAACGTCAACGACATGATCGAAATAATCGCGGAAGAATCCACTCTGCAGACCATAAAAATCCTCAGCGACTGGCTGAAAAACAACCCAGAAGTCCTGAAATCCTGTGGAGCCAATACCGGAGCTCTCATCAGACAAGTCACCAATTTGCTCAACCTCATCAACATCAATTTGCGTAGCCCCAAAATTGTAGGTCTCGGAATCAAGGTGTCCGAGATCATCAGCAAAGAGAACGAGATACCGCTTACTGAAGATGTGCTGCTCAAAGGGGTCGAAACGCTTGCAGACGCTCACGGGCGCTTGAATTGGCGGTACACCGACAAACGGGGGTTGTCCCTGAAAGAAGAGGCTATGGTCAGGGTGGTAAAGTTGATCGCTTTCGGTAAATTTTTGACCGGCGTAGGGGAGACAGAGATGACGTACGATGAGGGGGCGAACAAGTTCGTTTGTAAATTGAAAGAGGATGTCGGCGTTGATGGGAAGGATTCCGCAGCTCTGTTGGATCAGTTGGTAAGTGCAATTCGTTGATAAAATTGATTAAAAGTTGACTAAACGAATATGTTGAGCTTTATTAAAATATTATACGTCATACTTACGAAGATATTCCATGACTCCCATCGTTGTCCTATTTTTCCTATCACACCCACTTGCGTCCCACTCACTTTAACGGTCTCCAGAGACTTTTGAAGACTTTTATTGGTCCCAGATATGTCCCATGGCCACCCACATGCGTCTACAGATTTCTAAAAATCTACTTCCAACGACCTCCAAAGGCGTACAAATAAGATTGATGACTCCCACAGATGTTCCACAACACCTACATATGTCCCATAACTCACACATACGTCTCATGACTCCCACGGACTCAAAAACACTTCCAACGGCTTCCAAAAGTTTCCAAAGGTGACATGACTCCCACTGTTGACTTCCACATTCTTCCAACGACTTCCAAAGGCTTTCAAAAATGGACCATGATCCTGACAGATGTCCTATGACACTTATTTACGCCCCATGATATTCCTACAGACTTTACGAGAATCTACTTCCAACGACTCCTAAAGGCTTTCAACGACTTCTGAAGTCAAAATAAAATGGTGGTATGAGGAAGTTGATTATTAACTATAATAATGAAATGACATAACATGACATGGCTCCCACATACATATCCTGACTCCCACAGATGTCTCATGACTCCGATAGTCACCTCGTGACTCTCACAGACGGCATATGATTCCCACAAATGTTCTACAGCACCCACATACGTCCCATGCCCCCTACAGACATTTAAATATCCACTTTTAATGACTCTCACATAGGTCATATGACTCACAGATGTCCTATGACACCCTTATACGTCACATAATCCTACAGACTCTTAAGAATCAACTTTTAACGACTTCCAAAGACTTTCGAAGATGATTCGTGACTTCCATTGATATCCCAGGACTGCCACATACGTTTCATGACTCCCACATACGTATGTAAACTCCTACAGACGACTCATGACTCCCACAGACTCCAAATTTCCCATTCGACGGCTTCTTATGAATGATACTGTTGACTCAAGAGTCCCACTATTGACTCATGACTCCCACTGTTGACTCGTGACACACATTTTCCCAACGACTTCCACAGATAAAATAAACCTCATTTCCGTGCAGGACTCCGAAGACAGGGACCTTTGCCCCTCGAACGGGTCCACCTCCGCGCGTCCCTCTCGCGATCTGTCCAAGATGAAGCACATGGGCGAGCTGTGGTTGGCGGCGGAGGTGAGGGCACTGGAGAGTCGGGTGGGCGGGTTGGGCATGGGCGTGGGCGGCATGGGCGGTAGGGCGGCGTTGTCGCCGTATCTGGTGCTGGACGCGGAGGCGCTGATCCGGTACACGTACGTGGCGAAGCAGCTGGTCAACGCTAGGAAGTTTATCGTGGTGGTGCCAACTACAGGTTAGTTGGTTGGTTGGTTTTTGTTGGACGAGTTTATTTTTTATTTTGGCATAGGTTTTGGTAAACAATCGATATTCCATAATGGAATAACTTTATATAACTCCTTACCCCATGAGTTGAAAAATATAGAAGAAACAGAAAAATTTAAAATCAATTTGAAGAAATATCTGTTCAGTAAACTACAAAGTTGTAGATGTATTGTCACGCATTTAGAAAGATGCCAAAGTCATCAACCAAAATATCATCAACCTATTTCACATATCTAACGAAAGTTTAGGACAGTTTTGTCAAAGTCACAGGTTCTTTAATATTACATCAGGAATTTCGTAGAAATTAAAAAAAATATCAAAAAGTAAAAGTTGCAATAGAACGTTCAAATTTGAGGCACATGTGTAGAATCGGAATAGAAATAACTTTTCTCACTAAAAACGTTTTTGAAATTCAGACAAATAAGCCTATTTTCAGCGTTTAATATGGAAAATTGTAACTTTTGACATGTGGCGATTGACGTGATCCCGACCAAGTAGGCCATTTTTCATCTTTTTCAAAGCAAAACAACGCCCAAGTTGGATTTCAAAATAAATTATCAAAAGTTTTTTCCATATGACGGCAACTTTCTGAAAACACCGCACTAGAAAATATTCCGAAAAATTTGAATGTACACCAATGTATATAGTGGAAATATAAGGATAGTTTCCAGAACGGTTTTCCTTATATTTTTCTTTCAGTTGTATCTGCTTTGGATGATCTCAAACGTGAAAAAATCGAAGCAAGAGATGCTATCCGTTGGTTAGAATCCCAGTTCCACAGAGGTATGTATTTCCGTAAGACAATAGCTTAATCAACATCTGAAAATTGAACACTGATTATTCCTATAAATACAGGGTACTCTCAAAGGTGAGGCATCTTCTTAGCAGAATGTAGATAGTTCAAAAACTCATCGATTGAATTAGGCCATTACGCTCCTGGTATATTTGCTATTTTGGGTGGTACAGGTCTTCCCATATATCCTCTTTGTTCATTCAAACACCCCGTGTCACATTTGCACAAAATTAACGAAAATTCGCGGTGTTGGATGGTTTCTTGACGGAAAATTTTCCGCGTACAAAAGGATTGCTGCTGCTGCACTTTGACGACATTGGCGACACTCACCACAAATCAAAAGTATGTAAACAAGTTTTTTTTTTTCGTTCGCAAAAATGCTACATTGTTTGACAATGCACAGAAATAATAATTGAGGAAGAGGAATCAATTACTAGCGCTAAACAATTGAAATTCCCTTGTGAATGGTAGTAGGAGGACAGGGGATCAATCGGGTAATCACCTTACAGGAATTCGTGCGGCCAGGACCAGAATGAAGTACTATCAAAATGTTTGGAATGTTCAATTGATAATATCTCCGTCATTATGCATTTTTTATCAATGCGATATTTGGTGGATCTGTATATTTTAATGAATTCTATATTCTCTTCAAAAAATGCCTCACCTGTATGAGCACCCTGTATATCTAAGCAATTTGTTTTCGGCTAGTGTTAGCTGAACATCGAATGTTTCAACTAGGCTATCGATAGTTTCGATAGTTAAAAACCCTTTCGATATTATTAAATTGATTTACTGAAATGCATAGAGGTTATGTGCAAATGGACTGAAACAAAAAAAACAATCAACATTTGCTCTTGATAAAAATAATAAATATTCAAGAAACCTTATCTAGAGAAACATTGAACAAAAACATAGAACCATAAAATTTTCTCATGTTATTAAAACTTTATCACACAGCACAGCACAGGCAAGAAAATTAGGCATCAAAAAATTTTATATTTTGTTTAAGGAACACTAACTCGTTCAGTCTCTTTGCTTCCAGTCTGTTTCTCTTCACAGTCATCATAAAAGTGTTCAACCAAAACATAAACAATTTGATAAAATAAACAATCCGAAAACTTCAGAAGCTGGCGCAGTTGTACAGAACTCAAAAAATTCTTATAGTTCTGTGGAACTGTGTATGCTTCTGACTTCTGATAGTTTCTGACTCCTGATGGTTTCTGACTGATGATCTTCTGAATGCGAGCAAACCTGAAACCATCGACAATATCGGTGAAAACTATCGATTAAACCGAGAGTACATTACTATCGATAGTCTATCGATGTTTAGCTAACACTATTTTCGACTTTCAGGATGTAACTTTTTCAATAACTCCGAGTTTTTGATAGATAACCATCATTCTCAATTTATTATTCAATAGTTTTCCACACTAGGTACAAAGTTTTTTTATGACAAATTCATTTTATTTAGGTAACCGATTCTTTCGTGCTCAAAGACCTCAAGAAAAAGCTCCAATACCATTCATTAAATACCCAAAGAAGAAGGACAAAGAGATGCACACCTACATCCAAATCATAGAGTGTTGTTACTTTTTGGCAGAACAACAAAAAGGAGCATCTAATGTCGTTACGCTGCTCATCGGAAATCAAAATGTTTTGACCAATGGCGAAAATAAAGAATTTAGGTATGCAGATCGCCATTTTGAATTTGTTTCGAAAAGTGAGGTTAACGTTTGGATTATTTTCAGTTACGTTGGATTGGCTCAGTCCGTTGGGATTGCCATCGAGTCGATCAGTAGCTTTCATGGAAAATGGAAGAAAACTAAAGGAAAAAGGTGAATCTGAGCAGAGAAGACATTATTCTGGATACGAATGAACGATTTTGATTATCCTTGAAAGATGCAGATTTGCGGACAGGCAGCGGTTGGGTGTGCGACATTTGTCGATCCCCTGTCAAAAATCAACAGCGATTTTTTATTCTTGGGATGTTTCGTGAACTATATCGATTCAGGCTAATCCTTATGTAACCTTGTTCCTTTGTAGTTAATTTTGTTTTATCCAATAAACGGGGTCAAGTTCAGAAGTATTTTATTTATCATGTTTGTTTTCAACCCAATAACTACCTTTCAAAATATTCTATACACAAAGCGACTTTCTTCAACTAATATAAAGGGTGAGTCATAACTATTGATGGGACATAGGCTGAGGGCGAATTGATTGGAAGCTCTGTTGTAGGAATTACTGAAACAGACGTTCAGCAATATTGCAAATGTAAATTTGTGAATGTAACGTTCCAGCAATGTCACAGCAACATGTAACATTGCTGCAACGCTACATTATCAAACTTCACCTTTGCAATATTGCTTCAACATTGCATCAACATAGCTTTCAACTTTGCTTAGTGGGAAATGGCGATATGACCGAATATGCCTTGATGAAATATTGCTGTGGAAACAGATACCGGGCGTTGAATTTGTTTTTTTTTTCGTTTTTTGCTAATAATATCACTATATATTTATCAATTATTATCAAAATCGGCACAGAGGCATAATTTCACACTAGTGAATTAAATTTCTTGTCAGGGAATGAATTTTGCTGCGCATTTGTAGTAAATATTTTTTCGATTGGAATGACCTGTATCTTTTTCCGAAGCAATAGCCTATGTCCCAAATAGTTATGACTCACCCTGTATAAAATTCTGATGTCCCTGTCACGGTGTTTGTCGCCAAACTCCTCGGGAACGGCTTGACCGATTTGTAAGAAAATTTTTGTGCGATTCGGTAAGTAGGTATGAGAATCGGTCGTAAGCTATTGTATCAATTGAAAATTTCAATATGGCGTATCCAATACGGCGGACAAGTTTTGTGATCCGATTTTACTGAAAATTTGTATCTGGGGGGTTTTCGGAGTCGGAGATAATGATTATTTCATCAAAATTTGGAAATTCAAGGTGGCGAATCCAATATTGTGGCGGACGAGTTTTGTAATTATTATCTGATCCTATTCAAAATTGCTATCTGCAAGCTTTCGGAATTGAGGATTATGATTCGACAAAATTCGGAAACTCAAAATGACGGATTCAATATGACGGACGAGTTTTTTTGATTACGATCCGATTCTATTCAAAATTGGTATCCTGGGGTTTTCGGAGACGGAGGTTATGAGTTTTTCGTCAAAAAGACTCCGCAAATTTTCAAGGTAAATTGGGTCCCGCGGTGGATGTTTTCTCAATTTTTGGTATGATGTGGTTCTATAAAATATATTCATAGGGCCAACATTTTCGTGCCGGAGGTGTATGAATTCACATTTTGATCGAAATATAATGGGAATTATTACCCCCAACCCCTCTATTTGAAAATCGAAAAAAAAAAAGAATTCCATATCTATAACAACTGTCAGAAGTGATAGAGGCAATGTTTCATCACTAAAAATTATGGAAACCGCATTTTTGCATCATCACCCCCCACCAAATGGGGGGTGCAAATGAAAAAAAAAATCGATGGATTCCGCTGAATGTTTGATATGGTGGAGTCCATATATGATTCTGATCAGAAAATCATCGGGGTTCTCACCCCCAACCTGCACGACCCTTAAAAACGTTCCGCGCTACTGTTAGAAGCATGAGAAAATGTTTAATCACGTGAAATTATTGTCCCCAGCAAATGGAAGGGTGAGAGGGGGGATTCACATTCCGATCAAAATAGTCTAGTCTAGATCTAGTCATGTTATCCCCAGCGAGCACAAAAACATCTCAGAGATGTTAAAAGTACGAGATTTCGAGACATTGAACCTCCACTGCGATGTTCTGTTCACACATGAATAGAACTATTATAGAACAACCAATGTCCGCCGCAGGCGGCAATTATCGAGATGTCCTTGATATGTCACAAAACTACCTTCTCCCTAGTTCTTTTTAAAGCCTTTTCATGGACACAACAGAACATTTTCAACGCGTCTTGCGCACATTAAATCGCTGTAAAAAAACATTTTCGAGGTACTTTTCTGAAGACTTTTGTCAAAATGAACTTTTGCATTAGGATTCCATTTCCCTTGAATGAAAAAATGCATTAAAAATAGATTGAACATAAAAATATTTTCTTGATATGAAATTGCCTTCTTGATCGGTTTCTGAGTAGTGCTTACTACACACAGACATATAATTGGAAATAGGTTTCCCAATTTTTGAAATGTTCTCCACAATGCATAATTTTGCAACTGCGGAGAAGCTGTGTATTGATAAATTCGTACTTTTATATATTGATTACACTGAGGCACCGAACAACACGACATCTTGCATCTGATGGTCATTATTACAAACCAAATAAGTCTTCTAACACAATAAACTTCACCAAATTCCTTTCTGTTCGTTAGCAGCGTGATGTAAGCGTGACACGCTGCTAACGCGAATGCCAATTGCGAACAAGAAGAACAAAATCGAAAACAAATCAGAATTCATCGTATTGTGTCGTAAGCATGAGACGTTGTGGTGGGGCAAACAAAGAAAGGGCACAAAAGAACAAAAACAATACTTTCAATATCCTTCTAAGACCTCTTTGGGAAGTGCATATTACGCCTCAAAAAAACATCCTCATGCCTAAATTTCTAAAACATCCCAAAACATCACAGGGATACCTCTCATCAGTAGGCAAACAAAGAAATGCCACAGAAGAACAAAAACAATACTTCAATATCCTTCAAAGACCTCTTTGGTCAGTGCATATTACGTCTCAAAAAAACATCTTCATGCCAACATTTTCAAAACATCCCAAAACATCCCAGGGATGTTTGTGCTCGCTGGGTCGCCATCTAGTAGAGCCAAAAAAACTAATGCAAACGATTATTTCTACCAGCGCAAAGGGCGAGTGGACTGATAATAATGAAAATAATCACTAATATTATTATATTTACAAATATGTTATCAAAATACAAAAATGATATAAATAATCGTCGTTGAATTGTCGAATCATCGTGAATCCCTTTTCACGATAGGCATCCCATTGTTTCTTCACAAGACCTAGAGAGATTCTTCCGAAATGGCGGACAATGGCCTGACTTTGTTATTGTCGTCGCGAAAACGCCGGATTCTGCATTTGAATCATAACTCCGTGGTTTCCAGCTTCTTGGTCGTGGGAAGAGCGGGCAGAGTTTGGTAGACGTTCTGATGCCTGTCATGTGGGCAGCGTTCCTGCATTTGGTCGGTGGATGGCAGGGAATCTTCACAGCAAACGACGTTTTCGTCCAGCGAATCTCTTTCCGATTGGCTATAACCAACACAGAATTAGTTTCTTTTCTGGTTCATCAATGCGTGAGTGAACATTTCACACCAAACATGTTCGATCAATTTGAAAGCCTGTATTTCGTATCGTTACCATAGCAACTAAACAAATTTCTTGGAAATTTTTTCCTCGGGGGGCGGAGCATGAAATTACACTGGACATTTTTTGACGTTTATAGGTTAAATGACATTTACATTCAACTTCAGATTATTTCGAGTTCATTCTATGAGCCAATAAATAAAAATCATTTATCAACAGTTTACCATATAATATTATGTAGGTATACTTGTAAATTCGAAATTTACAAGAACACACATGTTGTTACTATAAGTTAGTTCTTACATTTCTTCTCAAAGAGCCATCATTTTCATATGAATACTATCATATTATACCTTCTCTTCAGTTTTGACATGAACAATGACATACGTAAATAAAAATAATATAAACTGGGCGTCAATTGAAACGTTAATAGTGAAATTTGGCATCAAGTTTGACTTCTCGTAATTTCTAAAATATTGAACGAATTTTGAATTGCCGCCCAGGTTCTGAATGCCTTTTTCATCGTCTTTCGAACCGTTCCTTACAGCTTCTTCTAAATTGATCAGGACCCGTGATACAGGGTGAAACAAAGTTTCGTGCATTTTGAAAAAAATTTCTCCGCCCCCCCATTTTGTCAGAAGACCACAATGCTAATATTTTATTCGGGCATTTCATAAATAGCAACCATACCTCGGGACGTTTTCGAGTTTCTGCCAAAAACTACTGTGGTTTCAGAAATTTATTTTTTTTGCATTTTTTTTAATTGGACTAATTTTAGAGAAGTTCCATAAATGGATGCTTTTATGAATTTCAGGAAATCGTTGGAGCAGATATGTATACCAGGTTACTCAAAAACAATCAATAATTTATTACTTCGCAGTCTATGATGAAAGTTTTCTACCTTAGTGAGCAGTAAATCAACACATCTCATCAACAAATACAAACAAGGATACCTTGTTTTTATAACAGCGTGTTGTTGAAACAATGTAGGTATGCATAGAGGTTATATCAATTGCCAATTTTCATGAAAACGTCAGTGTAATTCGGGTCCTAAAAATTTAAAGATGCCTCGTTCAAATCGGGTCGAAATGGGAAATATCATTAGGTAAGATCACTATAGTGATATAAACTATAATTCAGTACAGATAATTATTATTTCAGGTTACGACGATTAGGATATACCCCAAACTCATTTAAGTACCATTTTCAATAAGTCATGACAATAAAGAGACTGATTCATCGTTTTGGTGATACAGGTAGTTAGTCCATTAAAAAAAAATGCTTTTTTTTCGGAAACCACAGTAGTTTTTGGCAGAAACTCGAAAACGTCCCGAGGTATGGTTGCTATTTATGAAATGCCTGAATAAAATATGAGCATCGTGATCTTCCGACAAAATGGGGGGGCGGAGAAATTTTTTTCAAAATGCACGTAACTTAGTTTCACCCTGTATCATGGATCCTGATCAATTTAGAAGAAGCTGTAAGGAACGGTTCGAAAGACGATAAAAAAGGCATTCAGAATCTGGGCGGCAATTCAAAATTCGTTCAATATTTTAGAAATTACAAGAAGTCAAACTTGATGCCAAATTTCACTATTAACGTTTCAATTGACGCCCAGTTTATTATTCTTTTGAGTTAACATACAAAGGCTACTATATTCAAATGTCAAAACCATCAGAAATCGTCATTATCCAAGTAATTTTTTGATAATATTTCAGTGTGAAATTTTCTTACCGAATACCACTTTAGTTTCAATTAATATCCGGGAATTTTTTCGAGAACACGAATATTTAGAAAATTCTCCCAAATTTCCGGAAATAACTGAAGCTCTCGTGAGTAGGTGAAAATTTTTCGACAGTCCGTGAAGGCCGTGTCTCACGGTCCAACAATTTGATCAATATAGTTATTTGTTTTACTAGGCAGAAAAGTACAAGATTTAATGCCGTGGCTAGCGGTTCATAGCCTAGGCGTAGCCGAATGAATGAATGTATTCTGTATTCTGATGATTGAGGATGTCGACATCATTATACATGATCCTGATTTTTTCTTTTTGTAAATGAGTAAGTAATTCTATGTGAGCATCGGTAATTTGAAAGTATTTTTCCAGACATCAATATGACGTACTCACCTTACATCGTCTACGTTCTTGAACCATTCATTTTCATACGCCTTCAACCATATAGGGTTGCTTCCTTCTATACTGTGCTTATTCGTGTTTGGCACCCTACCACTCAAGATACCCATTCCTCTGTTGTCAATTTCTGACTCTCCACTTGCTAAAAAATCAATATGACAAAAACTAGTGCGTGAGTACCTAAGTTCCCAGATTCTAAGAACATTCTTAGAATATTAAGGTGGAAGATTTCGAATATTCTCAGAATATTCTGAAAATATTCTAAGAACATGCAAATGGGACGAAAATGCACGTTTCAATAACGTCCTCATTATTTATTTTTCAGCACATGATCAATACAAAAAGGACTTGATACAGGAAATTATGTGATAGCAATTTTTGTTGATCTCAAAAACTATACTTCCTTGTACCAGAACTTGATTCTCACTTGAAGTCACATTTTCAATAAATAAATAAATAAATAAATGATGAATGAAAACATTCTATGAATATATATAACATCCCCATCAAAACGATCTAGGAATAATCTCAGTACAGAGTGATTTAAAGCGCGTAGAAAATATTTCAGTGGTCGATATAGGAGGTTGAATAAATTGTAATGAAAACTTACCGTAAGCTGTAGCCGTTGCAGCTTTCAATTTCCTATGATAAGTTTGTCTTTGGTTGACGCAGAGTGCCAGGCAGAGTAAGAGAAGGAGGATCAAAAAGAGACAAGAAACAGATAGCCAAAATGTAGTATTGGCGTTCTGTAATTGGGATTTCAAGGCCAGAGTTCCTCCAGGTTGGGTGTCCAGAACATTAAAATCCTAAAAAATTACAATGAACTTTTAGTGTTCCCAGGCCCAGGATGCTTTTTATAAATGCTCAAAAAAATTTGTTCGTCTTTTGTCTAATGATCAAAGTGCCAATTGACATAAATAGGTCTCATTGATTTATGATTCATGAACAGGTGATCTAGCCCTACAGTAAATGAGTTTCATTCTTTTATCACTCATAAAAAGGTGGTCTAGGAGACGTATCATTATGACTTATATAAACATGTGGAATAGACTTCCAAGGAATCGTTCCATTTATCACCCAGCAAACAATTGTGGTTGTCCCTTGATAGGCCGGTACCAATAAAATAAAAAAAAACGACCGCCACAGGATTCGAACCCAGGTCGTTCGCTATCACTCTGTCACAAATCGAACTTATTTCAACTGAGCTACTACACCTTCCTTGAAATGAGGTGTGAACGGAATTATAATTTGCGGTTAACTTTCGAATAGGAATATCTCATTAATAATTATCATCCTCATAACAGATATACACTGTCAAGACCTCATCCAAGAATACGTTTCATTTAGTTATGACTCATAAACAGAGCTGATCTAGCCATACAGAAAGCTGTTCCATTGTTTTATTGCTCATAAACAGGTAATTATTTAGACCTACAGGAAGACGTTTTATTATTTAATGACACATAAATAGGTGGTCTAGACCTACAACAAGAATATTGCGCTTTATTGACTCATGCATGTGGTCTTAAAATTGAATGAGGTTTCGAAAATTTTCAAAAAGCATCAACTTTTTCTAAAAAGGTTGTATACCAGTTGGAATCTGAAGTATCCATCATATGAATGAGATACGGATAGGTCTCCCTACTTTATAGCAAAATTAGATGAAATAATTGAGATAGGTAGTTCGTTTATATTGATTCGTTCTTGACTCGTCATAGGATCGTTAAATTGTCAAATTATGTTTGTATTATCATAAGAATGTCACATTCAATATTTTATCATACGAAAATTTAGTTTTCTTACTTTGAAAAGTTCGTCTAACTTTTCGGTGTTTTGATCTACTAGTCGTAGCACTTCGTCCACTTCCACTATAGAATTGTCTTTTCTATCTACCAAGTGCAGGTATAAATCAGTCCTGGTCTTATCTACCGTACCATCGTGATTAGCATGAACTCTAAATTCGTCTACATTCACTATAGCTCCGGTAACGTTACCCAAAACCCTGAAAATGACGTTGAATTTTATGATGAAACTTAACATGATATAATTGAGAGTTAAATGTCAGTGAAACAAAATATGTGCCTGAAACATTCCAGAAACCAATAATATTTCGCTTGAAACGTTTCATATTTTGACTAAGACACGTTTTTGAAATATACCAAACACCAGAAATGACCTAGATATGAAACTTTTCAATAAAAATGCATCTGAAACTTCACATAACAGTGTATGAATTCATCCAGATACCAGATATATATTTATATTTTATGGGAAAGAAACACGAAACAATAAAAAATTCATATGAGTACAATCTGAAATATTTCACTGGCTATGATTCAAAAGAACATCTCTGGCACGTTTTGCTGGTGATATGTATTGTTCACTTCAACTACTTTTGTGTCATACAACATTACGTGTTTAGTGGAATGTTTTTCGAAGAATTATTTGAATGATTAAATGAGAAATATTCATCCTGTATTTTCTTGAACTTACTCTCTGAAGGCTTCGATGCGATCCCTCAGATCAGGTGGCTGTTGTCTCAGAACGAAACGCACGCGCTGATCTTCTCTGAGCAGATAGATGAATACTCTGGCCACATCTTGCAAACCGCCTGTGTCGTTTGCCAAGACCTGTAAGTGCAAATGTTCATATTCGTTTCATACAGGTTTGTACCGAGTAGTACCTATGTTATAAAGTATAGTCTTTGCTAAGCCACTTGAGACACACAGAAACAAAAATATTCGGTCACGTGTCGGCAAATCCTTTGATCCGCCGGCAACAGCGGCGGAGAATATTATTTTGTTTGGGTACCACGAATTTTATTTATTTATTCATTGAATCGAGTAAAATCTACATATCTTGTCATAAAATATTAATTACTGTATGAGTATTTCATATTGTATCTCCTTCACATAGGTTAGTGACCTGTGTGTGGAAGAGATTAACTATTTCATAAATGAAATTGTTTTTTCACAATATGAATACTTGAGCTAAAAACAGATAGTAATCAATAGACACACTGATGAAAATTAAATTGATATAAAAGCTGTTTACAGAAGATAATCAGATTATATTCATACAGAAACGGCTGAGTTTATCTATATCTGCATTTTGGACCATGGAAGTTGATGAGAGAAATTAAAAATTGAACTGCTGGATCTTAGAAGATCTGCAGTACACGGAATATTCGTAATATTCCAGACCACCCATGAGGTATTACCACGTTTCTTTTGCTTTCTTGTGATTGTTCGCCAAAAGGTTACCTCAAGTAGAGGTATATATACAATGGAACAAAAATATTAAAAATCTATCTGACCTAGAGTGCCTCGAACTTTTCATTTCACGCCCTTTATAGTTAAGTTATTCTCACATTTGAAACGTCAGTTCTGGAAATTGAATAGATGTCCCCTCGAAAATGTTTTCGAATATGTCTTGTTCGCTATCGAATTGCAAAAATTCTAAGAATGATGCAGTTACCATTTATATTTGAGTTTCCCAAAGGCGAGAAGATATTTCAGGTGTTCGTTAAAGCTTCAAATTCAAATATTCATTTCATGGAAATACATTCAATGTTATAATATGTGTCTTTGGTGCGACTGTCAATGTTTCAAATAATAATATTTTTGCACCCGTTCAATGAAGCGGCAGAGAAAAATGGCATTCTATCGCTTATAAAACATATTTGTGTTTCATGTTTGTTGTTCAGCTGTTTAACAACATGACCAGCGTGTCCTCACTCTTCAAAGAGCATTGAATGAGATGTTTGAGGCACTCTAGTGTGGATACCATGTTAATATGATAACAACTTTCTGAAAGACGCGTTATACCGCCGACATATCACTCACCATAAAATCAAAATATCCCTTCATCTCCCTCTGGGGATCGAAGTTCAACTGCACTGCCCCTGTGTCCTGATCCACCAAGAAGGGCGGCCTCTCCAGGCTGTCCAGTCCTTCCGTCAAGGTCATCCTTATCTCCCCAACTGTGTAGTACGATATAAGGGCGTTCTTTCCCAAATCGGCGTCATCGGCTCTCACGTGCATGAACTTCGTACCTTTCAAAATCCATACAGTCAATTTGAAGTTGCACAATTTTATGCCATAAACCTCTCATAAAAATTAGAAATTACGAATACATATATCTGAAAAACCGAACAAGTCAGCGTTCTCGAATTCGGAATCCGAATTTTCGTCTTCTAGAAACCACGACAAACTTATTATTTTTTAAATACGGACCTGAATTTTTCATTCAATTCAGTTTGAATCATTTTTTATATACTCATGCATTCTCCATCCATGAATACTTGAACTCGGTATGGCCGTTAAATGGACATCCAATGGAAGTTCAATTTATACAATCCAATGTACGTTGGTCTTTCTACGTACGATGGATGCTGATCAAACATCCATGAGAGTTTAGTCCTTGGGATAACGTAAAATGAATGTCTAACGGACGTTAATTTTGAAACATACATCGTACGTTCATCTTCATGAGTAAACTGAATGTACATTCTACGTACATGGATGGTTGGGCATCAAGTGGACATTCACTGGACATACAATTTGAAACATCCAATAATCATCAATCTTTGTACGTACATTGGATAGTCATTCATTGTCTATGTACGTTTGGAATTGGAATGGACCTGAAATGGACGACCACTGTCCAGAAAATAAACGCAGGCGTCCATGCAACAGTAAATTTGACCATCGCATTTTTTCTTGTAGTAGTTGCATCACTTCTCTTCTCGCATACTTTGGAGAGCATTGCGATGTATTTCCTGAGGATGAACTACTTCCGTATGTTCCTTTTATCCCACAATTAATAAAAAACGATCACGAACTGAACTGTCATTTATTCAAGAAAATATTGTAGGATATCAAGTGGCGCACTACCTCCTCTAAAATTTCTCATAGTAAACAATCTAGCCGATATCTTGAAAGAGACAAGAAAATCTTTAGGAATTGTGGTAACAACTCACATGACAACTTCAGAGAGACCGAATGGTGTTTCTCAACCCTAATATGAATCAAACAGTTTCTCAGAAATTCAAAGATCGTTTAATAGCTCTTGCCATGCTATCTATAAAAAAATTTGATAACAAAGTAATTACAGAATTCGCGAACAAAACGAAACGTAGAATAGACTTGGTTCATGAAAAAAAATTGTTTCAATTGCAGAACACCTAAACCGAAATGACGGGTCGCCACTAGATTGTACGTCAGATGCTTCCTTGAAATTTTAAATTCAATATTTAAACTTGTTCGAAAATAAAACGAAAAGCCAAATTTTGATAGTTCCAATAAGATACATTCTGCTTCGTACCAAAATTCGTGGCTGTGCTGACGCCTCCTGTGAACACGCTATGCAGGAACTTCGGGCTGTTGTCGTTGACGTCGGCGACCTTGACGATGACCTTCAGTTGGGTGTCGTCGTCCGAGTCGAAGAAGCTGGTCGTGGTCGGGGAGTTTCGGCAGTCTTCGGTGGCCTTCACTAGGAGAAGGTGAGTGTCTTGCTTTTCTCGATCGAGGGGAGTGGTCACCTGAGAAAAAGCTCATATACAAAACATTTTCATGGATAAGCTCCCATAAAAATTCACTGAGAAATAAAAATTGTAAAAATATCTCACAACAATAGCCCCCACATACCAAATTCGAATATAATCGGACCTTAATCGGACCTTAATAACAAAACTGATTCGCCGTTTTGAAGCCGCTATCTTGAATTTCTCAGTTTCGATGATAGTATCATAATCTCCGACCCCACGAAACTCCCAGACACAAATTTTGAAAAGAATCGGATTATAATTACAAAACTCGTTCGCCATATTGGAGCTGTCATCTCGAATTCTCTAATTTTGACAAAATAATCATAATTGCCGACCCCGAAAACCCTCAGATGCCAATTTTGAATAGAATCAAATCATGGTTACAAAACTCATTCGATATTTGGGAGCCGTCATTTTGTTTTTTCCTCTAACAACAATTTCATGATGCATTGTCATCAGAATTATGTACACCTGCCAAATTTCAAACCAATCGAACGATTAGAAGTGTGTCATATTCAACTTGCAAGATTTGAGTACACTCACACAGACAGACACCTAGACAGGTGAAAGTGAATAAAGGCTTATAAAAAAAGTATCTTCCTGATGATGAACTTGGAATGTGTATTGGTTCAGATAATCCCTCAAGAAAACGTGGTTTCAAGAAATTTAATGAATATTGTGAGCGTTGAAAAATTGGGCAAGGTGGCAACCCTGTAACTGACAAAAGTAGACTGAGTGAGCGTGACTGCGTATGAACGGCGATATCCTGGCGGAACTCTGGCGAGCTTTGGCGAGAAACGTGTGCGATAGCGAAAATATTGTTGTGATTATTCAGGCGAATACATAAAGTATCATGTTTGAGAAGGTGTTCACATAATTCTCTCCTGAATATATATTTATTTGGGTTTGAAAAATGTGTCGAAACATATTTCAGAAAGGAACGTTAGAGGGTTCTTACCACTAATGTATGATCGATAGGGTTTATATGAAACAGATTATCCTCGTTTCCAGCGATGATGTAGTAACAAATTGGTCCGGCTGGTTCCTCATATTCAAACTGATCTCTGTCAATTGTATCTGGCAGCTTTCGAATTTCTGCTTCTGGTGCCATATTTTCTGAAAATTAAAGATTATATAAGTATAATTAGATTTCCCTTATGCTCCTCTTACATCATACATTGCACCAGAACACTCATCGACTTTCTACTAAATTTATATTGGTATATATTTGAGGTTGTAGGCATTTACAGTGAAGCGGTTATGCTTCTAACCGCATTATAGGCATGCAGGATATTTCATCACGTGACTTCAATATCCATGTTTTTTTAGTTCATCATCGTGATGAGCATATGCATAATAGTAGGTACCTATGCTAGAAACTTACCTGTGAAATTAACGTGAAATTCGTCAAGCAGGAATTGAGGTTGATAGTTGTTCATATCGCTGACATACACTGTCAGATCTAGATCTGAACTTAGAGGGGTTGGTACCCCCAAGTCAAAAGCTTCTATTCGAATCTGAAAAGTTTATGAATTGTGTTCATTTCAGTTCAAAATTAAATATCGTTATTAGCCCTATCATCAGAGATGAATGATAGCTACAGATGTAAATAAAATACTGTACTTCCTCTACAACTATTTATCAATGTTAATCCAATTTTGGGGATTGATATGAATGCATGATACTTCTTACATCGTATATTTTCTGTTTTTTGCGGTCCAGTGGTAAACGCAGCTCCATAATTCCAGAAACTGGTTGAAGTTCGAAAAATTTCCAATGACCTGCAGGGTCTGCTTTCAAGCGGTACCTCACCGCGCCATTTTGTCCGACGTCTTCATCCGTCGCCATTACTTGGATTAGGGCACTTCCTACTGTTGCATTCTGGAATGGATTCAAAATGGATCTCATCTTGCTTCAAAAAAGGTATACTTATCATGACTCATAACTTGAAAGTAACTCTAAAATTCATTGAATAGTTTCGATCCATGACTGTTTTTTAATCAATGATACGATGACATTGCGAGCAAGTTTCTGACGAGAATCATATTAGTCTACATCATAGGGATTTCCTTTCGTGCGCTCCAAGCGGTATGAAAAATATCATTTCCGAAAACTTCTTGCCTAATCATCACGAGATGAATGATGAAATTTGATTTGACACTCATCCTTTAAGGACATAAGTCACTTAAGTAATCAGTTCAGTAGTTTTAACTGAACTTTCTGATCGAAATATTTACGGTTCGGCATATGTGTGGAAACACCTAATTTCTGACTGAATCAGAAGTAATTTCTTCGTTTCAAGACTTTTATATGAACTAGTACAATACAATTTTCCACTCTAATATTGATATATTTTACTCTGATCTCAAAAGATTCAAGAAATAAGTGAGAGGATTCTTGTTGAACTTCTATAGTATTCCTTGAATTCAAAAATAGTGCTGTAATTTATGATACTCAGGTTATATCTGAACTGCTCTTCTCCAGTCTGTGTCAAAATACTACCTATTGTTTATATTGTATGTACCGAACTTATTTTTGTTTTCTTCAGATTTTGAGTAAAAGTTATGGAATAGGTAGGTACTTAGTTATTAAATGATAGTAAGTAGGTGCAACTCATGTGAAGATAACAATTTTGTATCACTGTGCAATCCTGTTATGGAAAGGACCCTTTATAGTTCCTCTATTGAATAACCTTGTTTTCAGAATCAATAAATGAATAATGCTTTCTGTGCGGCCAATTTTGATTTTTGCTAACTATCATATTATCGTAAATATGGCGAAGTCAGCAGTTGTTTTAAATGGATCACCCTGTATGTGAATATTTTTCCGGCTGGTCCATAACAATTCAGTACTATAAGTGAATTATACAATACTCTGTAATTTTTCAAGTTGAGGAAACTTGTTCTTACCTCAGGAACTTTGAGAGTTGAGTTTGGTGGAGGACTGACAAAAACAGGGGGATGGTCATTGTAATCGGTAACGCATATCTTCAATGGTTCCTCCACCAATAAACTGGGTGTCCCCAAGTCTTGGGCTCTCATTATCAATGTGTAATTTCCGTGTTTTCCTCTGAGAGATTGAGTGCTCCGTATATCCACCGACCAATCACTCAGAAGATGAAGTTCGAATAGATTTTCTTGGTTTCCATCAGCTACATCAATAATTACCTGAAAATTATAAACATTGACAAAAAAAATTATGTGTCGATCTAATACAGCACCCGTTTGTACTTTTATCATTGTTTATCAGGATTATGAAATATAAAAATTGACCTTTTCGAAACTATTTTTTGATCTAGGAAAACTTAGTAAGTACCATAACACAATACAGCACCCGTTTGTACTTTTATCATTGTTTATCAGGATTATGAAATATAAAAATTGACCTTTTCGAAACTATTTTTTGATCTAGGAAAACTTAGTAAGTACCATATTTCTTCTCAATGGCAACTAGAATGGATTGTTGATTTCTTACCTGACCGTTTGATGTTTCAGGATCATCAGCATCAGAAGCATGCAATGTAGCAACGGTTTGTCCTGGTTCATGGAATTCCGTTATATTTACACAATATGGTGGAATGTGCAACACTGGCACGTTGTCATTGACATCCATAATGGTGATACTGAAATAGATATTCACATAACCAGTTGGAAAACCCTTCGCTTTGTGTAACGATGGGTTTTTTCGGGACAAGAGAAGTGGGATCCCGGAGTTAAATAAAATTGGCTATCCTAACGTGTTGCGTACATTTTTTTCTTCTGATTTTGGCGATAAAAATGTTTTCCATATTGATCATATTCATGATTTGAGTGGATTGTATTGATAATTTTGTGAGTTCAATATTAGGCTTGTCAGTTAGAAGTGTCCTTTATACGACAGAATATTGCATTTGACAACAGGGTTTTGATTGATACAATAAACATACATCACCAGTTATGAAATATATCAAGTTACGCAACTGGTCATGTAAAGTAGGACGTTTCAAAACTCTCGTCAGATTTGGAAAGTGTCATATTGCATGTCAAAATTAGTGGAAGATGGTTTTATCAGATACAGTAATACGAAGAAATTTTGAATTTGAAACAGAAACAAAGATGCCTTTTTGTTGATTCACCTGATTTACTCTCAATCAAACAGAAAACCTCAGCAAAATATTCTTCAATATAATTTAATAACAAGAAGGATATTATGTTTCGAAGCTTCAGAGTTGAACAAATCTCAGGTACCTACCTTCCTTCTCTTCGTAACCTTCTCAGGTACGCAACATGTTCCATAATAGGGTTTTTCACTTCATGTGATCCTCAGGATAAAAGTAGTACACATCAATGATAAAATGGAAAAAATTATGTTTCGTTTCATAAGAGAATTTCAGCATCGAAAATTAAGCACGAAAATTCGGTTTCAAGATTGTTCGCACTCACTTGAGATGCTTGAAGGCATTCCTGCTCTCCCCGCTATTGAACCCATACTGGTAATTGTCCCAAGCCTCGATCACCAGCAGATACCCTGCTTTCTCCTCCCTATCCAACGCCCCAGAAACCTTGGAGGGGAAACATAAAATATAGGAATCATATTAATTTCGCGACAAAATACAATTCCGATGAATCATTTATTTCCTATACAAATCGGTTTCGTTGAATTACCGTTCCGTCAGAATACGATTCGAATAAAATATACCATTCATATGAATTCTGATTTCCGCATTCCGCAGAATAACTCCTAAGTTAACCCGAGAACACTTGTGCTTGAAAAGTTACGTTATTGCTCGCAGCTGGTCAGTTGTCAGTATTTGTGTTGAATCTTAAAGGTATTATCCAGCTACTAATATACTTCCTTCAGAAACTGCATTGACTTCATACTTAAAGTAGGTAGATATATGTTTTTGATGGAAACGACCAATTGTTAATTTTCATCATTTAGCAACACTATTCGACAAGAACCAAAAGTATAGACTGTTCCGACGGTTCGACTCAGAAAGACTCCAGAGCGCATCGTGAAATGCCGGCCCAAATAAATGTGGGAGGAAAAAAATGTACCTATGCTTGGCGGCAAATCAACCGGGATCCGAACGTTCTCGGGTTCAATTACGGTTCCGTTGAAATACTATTCCGATCAAATATATTCTGAAATAATACGATTCTGATGAAATACGTTCTGATGAATTATATGCAGCCGTACCTTGACCACGCCCGTGTCTGCGTCCACGCTGAACATGCCCCTGGAAGACAGTCTGTCCAGCAGGTAGGTCACTTTCCCGTACTCCCCGGAGTCCGCGTCCAAGGCACGAACCTGCGCCACTTCCCTCCCGACGTGGACGTCCTCAGGCACCACTATGGAGGAGGGTTGGGGAAGGAAATAAGGGTTGTTGTCGTTTTCGTCGAGGATCTGGATGAAGAGCTCGGTGCGGGTGCTCCTGGAAGGAACGCCGTCGTCTGTGGCTTTGACCTATGGTAAAGCCGTCCACGAAACTTGAGATTAAGATTTTTTCTGATCAAGTATTATCAAGAAGGCACTATCTCGAAAATATCTAATTGAATAAAACTCCAAGATTTGTCATATTCCAAATTCATATTTAATTATCTTATTTTTGAATCATTATTATGAGCTACCTTCAGGTCGGACAGGTTTGCGAGACGTGGGGAGAGTTACCTCGTGAAATAGCGTCGAGTAAAGTAGACCGGATCTTGAGTTTATGTTAGTGCCTTTTTGGTTTTGCTAGTTATTTTGACCATCAGAACTTTCCTGTTGACTCCTCGAGGAAACTGCCAGCATGCTGGATATTTCATGAATATCTCATGAGGGTAAGAGAGTTTGTATCGTACTGGGTGTATATATTTTTGTTGCCGATTTGTTTTTCCGGGAAATTCAAATAATTTAATTCCCTGATTTATAAAAACCTGTGATTGTTTCTTCATTGAATAGTGAGTATATAAACACGTACCATCAAAAGTGATCACCTCAAGAACGCATCAACAGAGGTTTATCCCCTTAAGAATTCGTTGATGATGCCAGCAAGCGATCAGAAATCGAAGTATTAAAATCTGAGATATCGTTGGTGGAAGTTGACGCATATTTAAGGAGTTGTTCTTGAACTTTGAACTGTTTTCGAGGAATAATGTCACATTCACACCTGGATATTAGGCCCACTATTTTTTGTTACTTGTAGAATATATATTCTTGATTTCAGAGGTTGGAAGGAAACTGAATAGAATTCTTAAATAACAAGGACTGAACATAGCTTATGAAAGATAAGTCTGTCTCGAGAGTTTCTCTCGACATTTTCAGTAGCTAAAAATTACTCACTGTTAGGTTAATCCATTGATATTGCTCGTGATCAATTCTACTGGCAACTACGATATCACCACGATCAGGATCCAGATGCACAAATCCAAGAGTCTCTGCTGGACCTTCTAGTTTGTATACGATCGTACGGTTTTTATCGAAATCATCAGCAATGACTGTGCCAATTGCCACTCCATTTTTGCTATTCTCGGTAACGCTGAATTTGTAGGAAGCTTTCCTGAATTTTGGACTGTTATCATTCACATCTTCAATAACAATCTTCATAGTAACTGAAATAAAAGATAATGGTATCCTTGAAGACGTCAGATAATTAGATAAGTGATCTTTTTATGCAAAAAAAATACCTCGATGCCTCTGTGGTCCAGTATCTGAATTGACATCTTCCACCACTATCCCAATTTGTAAATTTTCCACTGTCTCCCTATCCAGATGTTTCGCTATGGTCATCACCCCAGATGAAGGTTCCACATAAAAAGAACCGTAGCAATCAAAATCTCGATTTTTTAATGCTATTCCTCTCTCGTTTAGTGCTACACACTCGGTTTCATCAATCTTGAAGACTAATTTCGCGGTATAATCTTGGTCGTCTGCTGTTAAGTTAGCTATTACTGTGCCAACCTGAAAAATACACAGATTCAACAATATATATCACATCTCACTTAAACACCTGCAATTTTCGAAATATTTTTTTTATCGCTGGGAGCGCACGAAAGGGAATCCCTATAATGTTCAAAGAACATCGTGCGTTCCTAGGGAGGATAGGGACAGGAGGTAGGTATTGGAATTGTTTTTGAACTTTTGGAGATTATATGTTGTTGGGAATACTTCCACAGGCAATGAATTCCAGAGCCTAGCCGTTCTATGGATGAAGGAGTCTTGATAAAGTGCTGTTCGACATCTTTCGAGGTTGACAACGAGAGGATGTGCTGACTGGGCTTGTCTAGTTCGTCTGATTGGTATCGCTAGTGAAGGGATGAACATTTCCATAAATATTTGTTCTATTGGAATTGTGACTCACTGAATATTTCAGTAGGCTAGATCGCAAGATTTAATTACAATAATATTATTGATAAACTATGAATGATCAAGTTCTCATTGGGAATTCAATTTATCAACTAAGCTCTCATAGTATGAAGATTTGAATACGGTCAGTCCTCAATATCTCTTCAACTGATGACACTATGAAGATAACGTCAATTTACATATCGAGTGGAGGCATTTTTGGGGTATTTTCACTCATTTTGCTATTTTTCAAATCATTATATGTTATTCCAGATAAGTTACATCTATTTTGTTTTTTCTTCTCAAAATGGCAGAACATTACGAATTTTTGAATGGTCATTTATTAAGATGATCAAATTAGTGGCAAGAAACCAAATTGTCACCCAGTGTCACAAGTGTTCATCACAATTAGGCTAATTTTCTGAATCTGTATCAACTGAACTTATGATTGCAATCAATGAATTTATTATAATAGTTTTGAAATATTTTAACCGGCAATACTTGATCGATCATCCTGTATCAGGCGTTTCAGCTCATCGTTAAACACCCAATATGATACTGCGATGAAGAGGGTTCTCGATTATTCGACAAAGTTCATGATTATATTGTATCACGTGATTGAAGTGTTATATTATTCGAGTCAAACTTATGCAGCCATACCTAAACAACTCATGGAGGATAACGCCAACTTCATTACTCTGGATCTCTAACCACCGCCGCCTTATCATTCACATCTATGACACTAAACTTGATTATATTATATCAATTGATCAAATTGTTAAGAGTCAAACTTATGCAGACATACCGAAATAACTAAGGAGGAATAATGCAAATCTTTTCATATTTTACAAATTGAACTTACAGCGGAATTTTCCGTAACAGAAACAACTCCTGGATCTTGAATCACCGGCGCCTTATTATTCACATCGATGACATTCACATCCACTAAAGTCCTCGCCCGCAGCTGACTTTCTCCCGGCGCTCCGTCAAGGGCCACCACTTCCAGGGAGTACCGCTCCCTCCTAGGATGGGCGAGGTCGGGATCCAGGGAGGCTCCCCTTGCTACTCTCACGATGCCGGTCTCCGCCTCGATGGTGAACTTATCGGCGGCGCCATCTTGGATCCGGTACGCCACGCGGTTGTTCGGAGAGGATTGGTCCAGATCGAAAGCTCTGACCTTGGGAAAAATACATATACATACATACATACATACATACATACATACATACATTCATACATACATACATACATACATAATAACAATCAAAAAAGGTTGAATAGATGTCCAGTGTGACGAAAAATATACGTCATAATGACGTCAGTAGGCTGCCTGGAAAGCAACCTGACCTTTCGCTCTCTGTATCCCTGCTACTGATCCAGATTGGACACATACTCAAAAACATCGCAATCTTAGTACATTCTATTGCATTCGTAACGAATTTTGTCCAAGCATAAAATTCGAGCGAGACAGGCATGTTCGGGTGAAATTAACATGTTATAGGACAGATATGCTTATTTATCTCGAAAACAGTTCGTTTCTAGACAAAACTTGAAGAGTGAAGAAAGGCTTCAAATAGAACGTTCCACCCTATTTGTAACTGGAAGATGTACTATGAGAAAGGATGGGGGGGATTAGGAAGCCTGTACCCCAAAACTGTATCACCCTGTAGATTTTAAAAATATTTGAAATGCTTCAAATTATGATCTTCTAGAAAGTATTGACCACACCCAATTTCAAATTGATATCTCTAGAAGTGAGCGAGATATTTCAATAAAAAAAATAATTGAATTTTGACCGCTTGAAGCTTCGCTACTGATCGAGATAAGACCCATGTTCGAAAAACTCTCTTGATCAAAATGATAAGATCTATCACCCATTGCAGTTTGTACCTTAAAGCCTGAATCACCCTGTATATTACGCTCAATGTGGGTTGCTCAATGAGTTGGTCTGTAAGGGTTGTGTTCCAGTATTCTCAAGTAATGTTATGAAATTATTTCGATCATCGAGGTCCTTGGTCAATAATAACTGAGTTAGAGGGAGGAATTTATTGTGAATCACCCTGTACCTACAGCTCGATGAGATTTTATTGCCTCACGTTCTCAACTGAGTAGAAATATAGAAACAATCCAAACGAATGCTGCATGGGTCAAATTTGGCAAAACAATTCCTGTTCGACACTATCCAGAAAATAATCAAAACACATTTTTTTTACGGAGATAATAGTTCAAACAGCAAAGTTCTAAAATGTTGAAAAAAATATACCTGCAAAATTGAAGTACCTCCAGCTACATTCTCAGCCACCGATTCGTTATAATAAGTATACTCGAAAACTGGCGCATGATCATTCATATCCTCCACGTATATCAGCAAGGGTACTTCGCTGAACAAACTGGGCACCCCCCAATCTCTAGCCCGAACCGTCAGGAACAAGGTACGGGTGTGTTCGTTGGAAGAGCCCTCGATAGCTTCGAAGTCCACTGGGTGTTTGACGTACACCGCCCCCGTCGCTGGGTCTATCGTGAAGTTGTCTTTTCCTTCCCCGTATAGTTCGTACTCGACCTCACTATTTTTTGTACCTAGAGAATTATAGATGTTCAATAATATTTCGACTTTTGTCCATTCGTTTGTCATATTTTTCTCTTGGTGCAATAAAAGAACAAAGAGAGCTCAGATTGAAGTTGGATATATTTTCATGTTGATCTCATGTCATCGCAACGTGATATGATGACCTTGACTACCGCGAATTGCTTTTTGTTATCGAACATTGATACTATTGAAATGAGTCATAATTATAAAACTATTTCTGAATGAAGGTAATGGTTTTCTGAGCATGTGACTTAATATTCAAGTTGAATACCATTTAGATCTGCATCTCTCGCCTCAACTCTCAACGGTTGCTCGAAGTCCGCCTTGTTTTCCAGCAGCCTTGATTCGTATTTGGTTTGTATGAAGACAGGTGCATTATCGTTGACATCTTCGATGTTGATTATGAGTTGCACTGAGTTTCTGTTACCGAATCCCAGGTCATCACGAGCTTCCACTGTCAGGAAATGTCTGGACACTTGTTCTCTGTCCCAGTTCGGACCTCCTGCTATTTTCACTGTTATAATGCCTGATGTTGGGTGCAAATTCAGCCTGAGAAAGGCACGATATAGGTTTTCAAATTTAGAATCGATTCAGAAGTGTGAGCAAAACACCATACGAAAAAAGCTGTAGTATATCTGAACGAATCATACACTAGTGGGGAAGAGAATGCGAATACGTTTCTGGAGCTTTATTTTGATTAGGTAGTATGAACAAATCCTCATATGCTCAGATAGTCAGGCGGCCATTCAATCTCTAACATGCAATAAAATCAGATCAAAATTGGTCTGGGATTGCCTTCAAAGCCTGCTAACCCTGGCTAACCACAACAAGGTAACTCTTCAATGGGTGCCAGGGCATAAGGGAATTGAAGGCAATGAAGCAGCTGACGCTCTTGCCCGGCAAGGGTCTGCGACGTTGTTTATGGGGCCGGAACCTGTGTTCGGTATCCCCAAAACCTCAATACGCGGCTGGCTGGCAAGGTGGATGCAAGAAAGACATCAGGCATACTGGAACAATGTCCCAGGACAAAGACACAGTAAACTGATGGTTGGAACACTGTCCAAAACAGTGACTAACGACATTCTGAGCCTAAACAGAAGTCAGATCAAACAAGTGACGGGACTAATAACCGGTCACTGCCCCTTGAGGAAACATATGCATCAAATGGGCATCTATACAGACGAACCCATATGCAGACTATGCAATGAGGAGGAGGAAACTGCCACCCATGTAATACTGGAGTGCGAAGCACTAGCGCGTTGGAGATACAACCTTCTGGGAGCAGTAAACTCTCAAGAGGCATTTTCAAAGAATGATCTGGTGAAGAGGCTGCTAAACCTCATCAAGGTAGCGAACCTGTTCACCTAAGTCAACAGCATGATCAGGAATACAATAGGCCCAAAGGCTGCAGTGTTTTGGGCTTCAAACCCTGACTGATCATTCTGCTATTAATCAATCAATCAATCAATCAATGAACACGGGAGAGAAAAGTGACTTCTACCTTATGCGATTTTGGACAAAATACAAATACAGCATCTCGCTTGCACTTGAAAGAATATATTCTATCTATAACACAATTTGAGGAGTCAAACAAACCACAATAAATAATCAAATTATGTCGCAACGAACATGATTCTGATTGTGTGTGTTAGAATGAACATTTTGAATACTGCTGTCGACCGATAAGGGTCCGCTGTTGCTATGATTTCGCCCAACATGCAATATATTATCGCGTTTGACTTAATGTTTCGAATTTCGAACACCTTGAATTCCTCACCCGAAGAACAAATTGACTCTTTCTTCGATTCGTTATGGATGTACGTTGATATTTCAAAATTACGACTTGATGAGCTTAGATCCCTTCAATTTTTTTTCTAAATTTTGTTTTCACGTGAAAGAATCTCCAATCAGCCGATACATTATTCCAAATCCTTGATATATGAAAGTCTAGTGAGTCAAGTATGCCTCATGATTAGTTATTACATATTATTTAATGCTTCCATATCTGAATATTGATTTGTTATTGATTCCAACTCGAAGGTACTTGGCACTTGAAATGGATTCCTCATAAGGCGTAGGTATATTCTTTTTCAATGAAACGGGATTTATAGAGGAGAACTCACATGTGGTCTATGCTTCCTGCAATGTTGGTGTATCTCATTCCTCTGGTACCGAATTTTCCTGAATCGTCGTCGAATGCTTGAACCCAAGCAACTGTGGTTCCAACTTCACAATTTTCTGGTACGTGGACTTCATAAAAACTCTTAGCGAATTCTGGGAAATTGTCGTTCCTGTCTACCAGACTGATGGTGACTGGAACTTCACTGAATTTGGGGTTGTGCTTAAAAATACAATAAAAGAGCACATTATACTTCACTGCCATGAAAGATAGATACATTTTTATTGACAAGAGCACTGCACTAATGCTTACGTCGTAGTAGTAAAGCTAGTTGAGTTATAGGACACTCTGTATACAAATTAGAAGGAGATAAGTGAAGAAACCCCAGCTACGTAAATATAATTCAACAGGTGTCTAGGAGTTCGACTATTTATAAAGTGAATCACCCAATGTTAGAGCTTATTCAGGTCATAAATATTATTGTCATCGAGTGGATACTGATTTTTGGTTCATGACTTCTATGAGCTCTATTTCGGAAATTTATGTGGCAACACTGGGTATGGCAACAGCGTACGAGTGTGCGCAAACCTACTACTACGTGAAAGAGAGCAACAGGTTCCAACCGGTGATTTGAAATTTGCAGTAAAGATAGTGTAGAGTGGTTGCGTAATTCATGTGTCACTTCTGAAAATACAAAAGAAGTGTAACTACAAGGGGAGATCTGTACCGAAGAATCAAACTGGTCCCTGATACTACTGAAGGTATGTTGATACTGTTTACATTTTATCAGTTTTTGTGAAGTTCGTGAGAATTTTCCAAATTAGATCAGATCGGAGGTCTGATCCTTTTCATCATGTTCTTATTTTGAGTACCATACCTTGACTACCTCTTTGGCGACTAACGTGAGGTTGATTTTTTTGATTCGTTCGTAGTCTAGGAAGGTGCTGTTTTTGACACGTATCATGAATGTGGCTTCGTTCACTGCTTTGCTAGGTGATATATCGAAAGTATCACCAGCACCTTTGACGTACAATTGAAATGTTCCATTGATGCCCTAAAAATAAATCAGCATGGAGAACATGAACAATATACTCGAAAAAGATATGCAGCCATTTTGAGTTCATTGTTATAGATTTCATATAGTGATATAATCTAGATCCTATACCGGGTGTCCCAAGTTATCGTATATTGGGGAAATAATTGAAAAATTCAAAAACTCGATTGAATGGCATTGAAGTACCTTCCTCATGACATCTAAAAAATCTATTAAATTTGACAATTCTCTGGCAGCTATCCCCCACTTTTTATTTTCAAATGGCACCCCCTGTATATTTGTCATTGGAAATTACGTGTCACTCAATTTGACTTGACATTTGTCACTAGCGTCACGTTTCATGTTTTCCGCATATTCAATGATTTTGTTCAAATTTCAAATGGAAATATTATAAGTTATTATAAATGATAATTTATAAGAGCATTAGTAGTTTATTAGGCAGGTGTTTGATATAATATCAGTAGAGTGACTTTGCTGCAATGTGTGAGGATTATTTGAAAATCCGAACATTCTTTTCATTTTATGTACCAAAAGTGAGTGAATATACTATTATCACAGGATTTTCTTGAGTTAGGACTTCCATTTACACAAAAAATTGTGAAAATGAAAATGTGAACTCAAATGCATGTGTCATGATGCCTGTAGATTTGGTTTGAAACTTCGGAAATTTTGCAAGATTCTCCCACGCCTCGCTATTTTTACAAAGTAGGCGATATCGACAGATTTCGAAACTTTTTTCAACAGGAAGTGATAACATCATTTGACGATTCGAAGGTACTTTATGCAGAATCATGATTTTCAATAAGAAATCGCAATTTTATTTTTTCTTCAAATAAATAGATAGCTGCTGTACGTCCGGTTCAGTCAGTAGTGTACATCTATTTGGTCTGGAACTTATGTATCAAATTTGAAATGACAACGAGAGCGAGAACGAGAGTATATTGAAAATGGGGTTGATGGGAAAATGCGAACAAATGTAGGGGATGATTTACACAATATTTACTCACCTGGTCGTAGTCATATACCTCTGGACTGTAATTTCCCAAAAAAGTCAGTGGCGTATTGTTGGGAGAATTCTCTGCTATTTCACATTCATAGAAACTGTTTCTGAATTTCGGTTTTTCATCATTAACATCCGTGATAATTACTGTCACTTCAGTTACTGCATATGGCGTCGGTACTATTTTGCTTCCTACTTCTTTCGCCTACAATACATTTCAATATTTCGAACTTGATATAGTTAAATAGTTATCTCTTGAATCAAAAGAGGATTTCTTATTAATTTAGTGACATAATTGTACTTGTAGTCTCAAAGGAATGTGAAAACATTGTAGTATATCAAACTGCAGCTGTGCCCATCACTATCCTGAACAAAATGATTGAAAAATTGCACTTTCCTGTGCGGAAATTTCGCGATTCTTTCATATCAGATAACAGCGAACATAAAAAATTATAACTTATTGAATAATGTTCAGTTGGAACTTAATAGAAATATCTATACTTACAACAAACAATTACAAAATAATGAAAAATAATGATAGAGAGTCACAATATTTGTTCGTAGTATCTATGATGAAAGAAAAATGATTATTGAAATTTTTTGCAAATTGATTGATTTGATGAACACTGAATTGGCAACTAAAATAAATAAAAGTTGTCTATTCCAGTGAGAAAAGTTTTATCCGCACGGTGTGAGGAACAGTGTAACTTTGCGCACGCTCGTATGACAGTTTTTTTCAGCGGTATAGGCATTTGAAATTTTTAAAATTTTAAAAATTGCACAGCTTTGATAAGCATTCTGTGGAATGTGGCAATGAATGAGACATTCAGAAACTGAAAAGATATTAAAAATAGGTTGAGGCATTCGAAAGTTATAATGATAACTTATGGGTCGGTAGTTTGATGGCCAAAGACACAACAGGCTGGAGTGATTCGAAGGCTCAGTGTCATTCAAAGGCAAGCTTGCCTGAGTGCCACTGGTGCAATGATAACCTCTCCAACAGCCGCTTTAGAGGTCCTCTTGAACTTGCCACCACTTCAAAAATATACAATCATGGCGAAACCACAGCACTCGTGAGTAGTTTGTCCAGGGGTCAAGCACCCATAAGCAACATGCATCGTAAGAACTATGGAAAGCTATATGGAGAGTTGGAAAGCGACCCCATCATGGAAATGCCAATAGATGGCATGATTCCAAAATATAGCTTTGAAAAAAACATTTGAAATTAGTATAACGGATAAAGAGGCATGAAAGAAAGGACCTTCCATCAATGCAGACATTGCTGTCTTCACGGACGGTTTCAAAACTGAGGAAGGGTCAGGAGCTGGTATTTATGGTGCCAAGCCAATAAAGACAAGAATCTTACTGAGCTTAGGTAAATACGCGACGGTGTTTCAGGCAGAAATTGTCGCAGACATCATTGCGTAAAAGAACTGATTAGGCAAGAGTTTACAAGGAAAACCATTGTGAACTTCTCGGGTATCCAGGCGGCAATCAAAGCAAGTTAACTCAAAACTAGTCTGGGACTGCCTAGAAACCTTGAATGAACTGGGCAGTCAGAACAGACTGACTTTAGCATGGGTACCAGCACACCCAGGGTACGAGGGCAACGAAGAGGCAGATTCACTAGCCCGAGCAGGAGCTAGTATAGCTCTGAATGGCTCAGAACCCTTGTGTGGCAAGAGCTATACAAAAGACAAGCATCAAATCATGGATGCAAACCAAATCAAAAAGAATGGTGGAACAACTTGCCAGGAATTAGACAGGCAAAGGAGTTCATTAAAAAAACATCGCCAATATTCACAGAACATCTACTGAACCAGAAACGAAGTTCAACTAGAATACTAGTGGGTGTTCTCACAGGGCGTTGAATGCTCAACAAACACATGAGTACGATAGGTCTGGCTGAGGAACTGATGTGCAGGTTTTGTCAGGAAGAGGAGGAAACAGCAGTACACATACTCTGCCACTGTGTTGGCTTGTCAAGAATAATGTTCCTAACGCTGGGAGAGAAAAAACCGAGAGCCCAAAGATACACAGGGGATCTAAAAGCTAGCCTATGGAGCCTCATAGAGAAGGCGGGGCTAGCTAACGATTTTGAGGGCAGACACAATAGACCTGAAAAGGTCGCGGTGTGGAGGCAGATAACCCGAAGGCCCCTTTTTAATCTAATCTAAGCTCTGATGAATCAAAAACGAAAAATAAAAATGGAGTGTTGAACAGTTTATTATAAAAAAAAGGAATAACTGGCTATCGACATGATAATTTCACTTGAAATATTCGAATTTTCAACCTACTATTATCTGAAGAATGAATGCTCCAGAAGCAGAGGGTAGAGCTTCTCGATCTATAACGTTCGTTGTAAAAACTACCCCGGTATCTCTCTCGACGGAAAAAATATTGCTCGTTTCGCTGATACTATTCGACGTCAATGAATACTCGATGGGGTTGTTTATTCCTCTATCTCCATCAACTGCCACAACTGAAAATAAAAAACATTTAGTTATTTTTGAGAATGTGTTGGAAACCGTCATTTTGTTGTCGATGGAAATAATGAAGCGAAATTATAGGGTAGGAAGAATATGATGAAAACTTTGAAAAGAGGTACGGAACGACCAATTGAAATTTTGAGGGTTCGAACGTCCTTACAAATTTATAGTTATCGTTGACCCACCCTGTAAATATTTGTGGTGGAGCTTCCATGTTTTTATTAACGAATGGAAGAGAATTACAGTTTGCTTTAGAATTTTTTATCTGGAAAATGAGATACTTTGAATAACAATAATAATTGAAGTTAGGAGTGATTTCCTACAGGGTGTCAACGTATTCATTATTCATTAGATAAGCCATATAGTTTCCAGAGTTCTGAAGGTATGATGATCAAATTTGGCTGGGGTCTTGGATTCAAGAATTGTAACTATTTCGATATTTCATGTTCTCCCATCATTTCCGGTTTCATCGGAAACGACAAAAAATTTTGATTTCCCATTGGGACAAGCTGTATTTCATTCCATAATTGGTTAGGGATTATACAAATGATAACGAACTCAACGATATCGATTGGAATATTTCAAACTGTCACGAAGGTATATTTACATTCAAAGTTTCCATATGCTCAATGGGTGTGAAAGCACAATCTCGAAACTTCTTGCTCTGTCACACTCATTAAGTTTAGCAAATTTTGAACGCGATATATATTCGTGATCATTCAAAATGAATGTGAATATTACTAAAATTATCTTTCGCCTTTGACTCTGGATATTCATGAGCTCGAAAAAATATCCGGAAATGATTCAACCTCTACCTGATGGAGAATTGGGACACACTGTGTTTTTAACATTTTCAAACATCAGTAGCATAGACACCTACTACGTTCATATTGCCCCTAAGGGTTGTTCCATTGATAGTCCAAACCAGAGATTAGTCAACCACAGAACGTGGTTGACTAATCTCTGTTCCAAACGAAAGTAAAAACATTGTAGTTCATCGAACGGCACCTGTGCCAATCACTTTCCTAAGCCAAATAAATAAAAAATTGCACTGTCCTGTGCAGAAATTTGCACTCGATTTCACAATCTGATTACTAGATGTGAATTATGCCATCCGATACCAATTGTATGGTAGATTTCAGAAACCTAGCTATGTCACCCGTCGGTTTATCTGCCCCTATTATTCCGGGCATACTTCCGTCATGTGATAACGAGTTGAAACAAAAAACAATTTTTTTTTATGTTCTGGTTCCCACGAAAAGGGATATCCTGTAATGTTCAGAGAACATCGTGAGAACCAAGGGAAATAAGATGGCAATTGGTGTTCTTCTTAAATTTCTGGAGGTTATAAGCCTCGGGAAACACCTCCCTTGGCAATGTGTTCCAGAGCCTCGCTGTTCGTTGGATGAACGAGTTTTTCTGAAGAGATGTTCTGCTGGTCTCCGAAGTGACCACGAAGGGGTGCGAAGCCTCAACCCGACGGGTTAATCTCGCGGGAACTGCCAAGGGAGGAACAATTGTTGATATTTCAGAAGAGCATCGTCCACGAAAATATCCATAAAATAGAGCCAGATCGACAACTTTTTTACGGTGTTCCAGAGAAGTGAGTGAGTTTGTGAGCGAGGCATCACCCACGAGACGTATTGCCCTTTTTTGGACAGAATCCAACAGTTTCAGGGCATGTTTGGGTGCTGCACTTCAAATATGGGAACCGTATTCCAGGACAGGTCATATCTGTGCCTTAAAGATCATAAGCAGCTGACTGGAACTGAAATAGCTCCTGGCAATTGATCTCACGTGATTTTCCCAAGAAAGGGTTTTGCTGATAGTAATACCAAGCATCGAAATGGATGTCTTCAAAGGTATGGTTATTCCTGAGAAGCTTATGTTGGGCACAGTGAGATCGGCTTTTCTAGAGAAAAGGCATGCTTGTGTTCTGTTTGCATTGAAATCTACCAAGCTATTGGATCCCCATTGGAGAATTCGAGAAATGAAACGGAAACATGTTCCTTTTGCGAATATCCAAACGTGCTGCGATTCAAATTGATCTATGTCAGTGACAGATGCGTCAATATTTCCCTAAATAGTTCGCCCTCGTTGAAAGATAATATCCGATGGACCAGTGTGCAACTCATGTGGTGCTCACACCACAAGTATTCTTATTCACATGTTGAGTTTTGAACTGGTCCATCGGATATTATCTTCAGAGGGGGGGCTGAAATATCCTCGGAATGAGTGTTGACGCTCTGCCACTAACTTATCTGCCGTGGATTTGGCTCAGACTGAGGGGTGGCGGCTCTGGTAAGTTTTCGAAATTTATCATTTAATTAGTATCGGATAGCATCATTTTCATCTCGTTAACAAATCGCGAAATCGAGTGCAAAATTCCGCACAGGAAAGTGCCATTTTTCAATCATTCTGCTCAGGATAGTGATTGGCACATCAGGTGCCGTTCGATGAACTACCTACATTGATTTAACATGCCTTTGGCACATACAGTGTGTCCCAGCTAAAACTTGTCATTCTCCTTACCTCCGATGTCGTTGAAAAAATTGAAAATCGCTCGGACAGGTCGATTTCAATCTGGCGAGGACACATTTTTCTGCAATTATCATATTCCGAAGTTGAAACCTTGAAGCGTAACGGGCATCAACTTTCAATTTCCCAATAGAACACCCTGTATTTCATTGCATTTTTAGATTGTCCTTGAAGAGCTGCTTTCATCAATGCATCACACTTGGGGTCTAGCGGGAATTATTACAGAGATAAGATAGGGTGTTCAAAATCGAGATTATTCAACTTCAGGATTTTTTTGTGTCGAAACTATTCATTATCTTAACTTTTGATTAACTATTTCCTGACATTAAATTGGTACAAATACAGTGTGGTTCAAGATTTAGAATTCTGATCACCCTGTATCTATTCCAATTAAATGTCAGTACATATAGTAAATCAGAAGTTGAGATAGGAACATGTAGGCCGTTTTGACTGATAATGAATAGTTTCGACACAAAAAATTCTAAAGTTGGAAAATCTCGATTTTGAACACCCTATATCTCTGTAATCATTCCCGCTAGATACCAAGTGTGATACATCGATGGAAGCAGCTCTTCAGGGATAATCTGAAAATGCAATGAAATACAGGGTGTTCTATTTGAAAATCGAAAGTTGATGCGCGTTACGCTTTAGCTGGGACACACTGTATATCATTTCGTTATCAGATGACGGTCGAAATTTGCATCCATCTCTTTTGGACTATAATATTTCATATGTACAGGGTGATTCACCATAAATGTCCCCCGCTCTATAGCTCAGTTATTTTTGAACCGATTTTAAAATTTGAAATATCATCTTGAATGATTTTCGATAAAGTTTTTTTCCGCTAGATCAGAAAATACAGGGTGCTCGGAACAAACGATCTACAGGGCACTATTTGATTTTTTTAAATGAAACACCCTATTTTTCATTGTATTTTTAGATTCTCCCTGAAGAGCTGATTTGATCAATGTATCACACTTGGGGTCTAGCGGGACTGATTACAGAGATACAGGGTGTTCAAAATCGATATTTTTAACTTTAGGATTTTTTTGTGACGAAACTATTCATTATCGGTCACGCGGTTTTCATGTTCGTATCTTAACTTTTGATTTACTATCTACTGACATTTAATAATTGGAACAGATACAGGGTGACCAGAATTCTGAATCTTGAACCACCCTGTATATGTTCCAATTAAATTTCACTAGATAGTAAATCAAAAGTTGAGATGGGAACATAGAAGCCGTTTTGACCAATAATGAATAGTTTCGGCACAAAAAAATCCTAAAGTTGGATAATCTCGATTTAAACACCCTATATCTCTGTAATCATTCCCGCTAAACCCCAAGTGTGATACATTGATGAAATCAACTCTTCAGGAAGAATCTAAAAATACAATAAAATACAGGGTGTTCCATTTAAAAAATCAATTAGTACTCTGTAGATCGTTTGTTCCGAGCACCCTGTATTTTCTGATGCAACAGGAAAAAAATTTCTGAAAAATCATTTTAGATTATCTTTCAAATTTTTGAAACGGTCAAAAATAAGTGAGATAGAGGGGGGGACATTTATGGTGAATCACCCTGTACAATATTGTTAAATGATGACTTCCGTTGGATCGAAACAATTTTTTTTTTTTTTCGTTGAAGAGTTAGTGTATTTCGACCCTCCCCAATTTTATAGTGTAGTCGAACGAAAATCATTAGGTTCATTCTTCATTTCAATTGAATATTCAATAATTGAAGAACAATACTCCCCCATACATCACGTTGTATAAAAATATAAATGACGTTATTTTATGTTCATTGAAAGAACCATTATCCTTTTTTCAAGTTTTACTGATTCTAGAAATATTTTATATTATTACTTGGTCACCATGTTCATTTTTTTTACATTTGATACTCTGTTACGACCGATTAATGGAATGTTTCATGAAAAAAGTGGTGACTGTTTATCGTATCGAGATCGAGAAAAAAATTGTGAATCATTCGATAACAGAACACTGTTCTGAGAACAGTCGAATTTATTATCAGTATAACGTTTACTACGCAAGTGTCTGTGTGTGACTGTGTGTGAGTGAGTGGTGAAAAGTGACTGTTAGATTATTGAAATTTGAATTTTTGAACATTCAAAAGTGTACTCAAAGTGAAGAAAGGATGCCGGTGAGTTGATATCAATGCTTTTAAATCAAATTCGACACCAATTCTTATGGTTTTCATCTCGGTTTTCATATTTTTTGCTTGCCGATCTACAAGGGTTCCGGATCTTATAAAGGTTCTGATTTTTAGCTGGAAATTTCAATTTTCTTTCTGAAATTTCAACTTCAGAGTGAGAAATTTGTCGTTTATATCGAAATCTTAACTTTTATCTCGAATGTTTCGACTTTTATTACCAAAATTCCTACTTTTTCGAAATTTCGTAATTTCATTTGTATGTGAATTTCTAGAACACAACA